GGCAGATCCAACTTTCCAACAAGATAATGCCCGACCACATGTTGCAAGAGTCACAATAGACTTCTTTCAACATAATGATGTCACATTGTTATCATGACCACCAAGACTTATCCCCAATTGAGCACGTGTGGGATATGATGGGTAGGAGATTGCTCAATTTGCAACGTCCTCCTCAGACTCTAGAAGCACTTCGAGAGGAGTTGGTGGTTGCCTGGAATGAGATACCACAGGAGGACATTTACCACCTGATCAGAAGCATGCCTAGGCGCGTTGGAGAATACGTAGCACATCAGGGTGCATCCACACATTATTAAAGGTCCAAGCGCTTTAAAGCAGTGCAATCATTTTGAAATTTTTATCATTTACTTATTATGCTTCATTAAGTACTTATACAAAATTTTATTAAAATAAAACCGTTTAAACTGGGTGTTCGGATTTATATGTCACTTAGTATAGATAGAGCAAACTCAATATGTCAGTTCTAGGCCTGGCTAAGTAAAAATTTGCACTAGTTCTTGACGCAGGGACAAAGAAGTGCAGTTGTTCTAAGATTACACTGAAGCCAATAAAGCCTGGGATAAGTTTGAGAAGAAACTGAAATTCTTTTCACGGTCAACTCACTATGAGGATGTATCTAATCCTCTTTGGAAGCACTACAGGCTGACATATAGCACAGGCATCCTATAAAGGTCAGGATAAAATTTTTCGATAACGCAAAATCTATCTAAATTGTTCAGATAAAGTTCGAACTACATATTTTGCTGGCAATAAGGGTGTTGCATATTAACAGGGGCTTACAATTATATGCACGATAGTAGCTGCTGCGCACGGTTATCTCTGTTTTTTTTTTACTATATGTCTATATAACCTGAATCAAGTAGAGACTGTGAGATCCAACATTTTTCATTCAATACAAAATAACATAATTGTTCTAATTTGAATCCGCGTCTTGCTTTTCGTTCAGCAAAAACTTCCATCGCAGAATCCAAATTGAGTGTATCAGTTACTGATCTTTCGATATAGAGGATAGAGATGTTGTTGAGTGTGTCTTCAGCCAAGGAAGCTCGACGGTATTCTTTAATAATTTTCAAAGAGCTCATGACACGTTCAGTACTAGCTTAACCTATAGGCAAAGTCAAAAACAATCTGAATAAACTGCAGCTCTCTGGAAAACTGTCTATAAAATTGTTTGCAATCATGAACTTCAAATAGTCTAGCGGGCTGTCATTAGTAAAACTATGATTTTCCGAAAAATACATGCTCGTAAAACTGGATAATTAATATTTCAGAACAAAATTATCGTATGTGCTTTCGCTCCTCAAATCTTTTAATTTTTTTAATGCTGTTGAAATGCACCTTTGAGCCATCATCAAGTCTATTTCTTTCTTTTGAATTTGAACTTGCACAGTATTCATTACGTTCAATACTGAATGCCACCATAACAAATAGAGGAAAGAGGTCCAGTTCATGGAGAAAAGGAGAGATCTTGTATTCATTATATCTTCGCCAGAAGATCCCACTCTTCATCTTCTATGCAATTGTTAATACATTCAAAATATTTCTTCCACGATATTATCATGAAGAAAATAGATGTCATCAAATAAACAAATGCACAGTATCTATTCTGAAAGTTTATGGTTATAAGCATTGAAGACGTGAAAAGACTGAAATAGACGCAATAGAGTCTTTATTAGACTGACAGAGGCTGATTCATACCACGAAGATATTTATTTACTGAACATTTTATGCCAGGTTATAATACATGGTGTTTCAGTGTATTGTTGCATAACTTTAAGATTCGATAGAACTTTTAAAATTAATGCATAAAATCTATATAAACATGGGTCGAAAAATGCGTGGCTTCCGAAATACAGGGTGTTTAAATTTACTTTCTAAAATAGTTTTGTTTAAATATTTCGAACAATATTTGATCTATAACAGTGAAAATTGGTATACAAGGGTTTTTTGGTACGACAAAACGAACCATGGGCATAGTTTTACTGTAGCCGCTAGAGGGCGCTCTCTACTGTACCTATAGTGTATTAAAATGACCAAAAAATTTTTCTTAGTGCAATTTGTTGCTTTTTGGATAAAAAACTCATTCTTCGCACTTTTCAACATAAACAAGCTCTTTTGTGAGTTTTCGTTACAGTAAGCCGTTTTCGAGATATTTCGATTTTTAAGGTTCGATGCATTTTTAATTATTTATGGGAAAATATTTTTTTTACATTTTCGATTTGGGCATTACAAGTAATTAAGATGATCGTTTAGATTGTGTTTTTAAACACAGCAATAATTCCTAAGTCCAAATAAACACAAAAAACAGAATATTAATTTTTTTAATTTTCCAATATTATTTTTAACAAATTAAATTAATTATTTACAACTAAAATGCTATTGGATAGTTAGGACAAACATACAAAATCTAAAGTAGTTGCTCGATATGTAAACCCAATTGTTCAATACACAATTCACATCTACGAATGATCGAACGTGGTATACCATTATTCAAATAAGGCCTTATTTCATCACATGCACTCCTGATTCTATCTATTAGCATATCTCTTGTGGTTACGGGAGTCTGGTACACTTTTTCTTTTAGAAATCTCCACACAAAGAAATCTAATGGATTTAGGTCAGGGGATCGTGGAGGCCAGGCGACTGTACCTCCACGGCCGATCCATCTTTCTGGATATTTTCGTCCAGTCAGTTTCTAACTATTCTCGAATAATGAGCTGGACAGCCATCAAGCTGGAACCAGGCCAATCTTCTTAAATCTAACATAACATCATCCCACATATTTGCATGTTCAGCCTTTAAAAATTCCAAGGAGGTCGCAGCATTTAACCTTGCAGGCAAAAGGTAGGGTACAAATAGACGATTACGGTAGATACCAATCCACACGTTCACACTAACTTCATGCTGAAAATTTCTTTCCTGAACTGCATGCGGATTTTCATGCAATCAAATATTTTGATTATGAAAATTGACCACTCCAGGTCTAGTGAAGCATGACTCATCGGTCCATAAAACGTTACTTAAAAACTCCCTATTATTATCAGTTCTATCAAGAATCCACTGACAAAATGTGATTCTTCGTTCTCCGTCACCTGGCTGTAGTCCTTGCACAGGTTGCAAATGGTAAGGACGTCTATGGTCATTTCTAAGAACACGGTGAACATGGCTTGTTGAAATTCCCAAGGCACCAGAAACTCTCCTAACACTTGTGGTCGGATCTCTATCAAACTCACGCAGAATCATACGGGTAAATCTGCGCTGACAAACATTTATGTTTTGATCCCTTTGGAGATTTCCAAAACCATTTTCAATTATTAGGCGATGCGCTCTTACAAATACTGAGCGAGTTGGATGTCGTCTGTTTGGAAATCTTGGTGCGTATTCTCTGGCTGCTGCTGCGTTTCCATTTACAAAGCCATACACAAAATGAATATCCGCTAACTCTTGATTGGAGAATAAAAATGGCATTTTTATAAAACTTACAAAAAAAAACAGGTAAAAGAAACTAAATTTCGTGCATTCACAATTGCAAAAAAGCGTTTCAGGTTTCAACAGACAACAAAACTAACTGTCAGCTAATTGACGTTTAACCTTATTCTGCATTCAATTTCAAAAATATTTGCAGGCACAGCCTACTTCTAAAAATTATCGAGATACTGACTTTTTAACGTAATTTTATCGTAAATAATTAAAAATGCATCGAACCTTAAAAATCGAAATATCTCAAAAACGGCTAACTATAACGAACATTCACAAGAGAGCTTTTTTATGTTGAAACGTGCGAAGAATCACTTTTTTTATTCAAAAAGCAAAAAATTGCACTAAGAAAAAATTTTCGGTCATTTTAATACACTACAGGTCCAGTAGAGAGCGCCCTTTAGCGGCTACAGTAAAACTATGCCCATGGTTCGTTTTGTCGTACCAAAAAACCCTTGTATACCAATTTTCACTGTTATACATCAAATATTGTTCGAAATATTTAAAAAAAAATATTTTAGAAAGTAAATTTAAACACCTTGTATTTCGGAAGCCGCGCATTTTTCGACCCATGTTTATATAGACTTTATGCATTAATTTTAAAAGTTCTATCGAATCTTAAAGTTATGCAACAATAAACTGAAACACCCTGTATATCACTGTAAACACAAAATGAAACCCCTCCATTCCTTGAGAAATAAAAGGGTCATTCGGTAATTTTTTTAGAAATCAAAAAATTTCTTAAGAAATGAAAGGGAAACTGAATGCTAACGCGCTGAACAATATAGACACTAGAGCTGGTTTTTGCTGGGGGGGCTGTGACCACTTTTCCTTAGGGGGGGGTCCAGGCCATTTTGCCATTACTTAAATCCGTCACTGTGACGGACAAAACCACAAAAAAGGGATCCTGGATCCGCCGTTGATAACAGTAACAGTAGTTGTTCGATGTCGGTGATGACCGCAGTATGACAGATAACAGGAGTGGTGTCATTATACGTGCAGATCTGTTAACGCGTGAGAATGTATGATGTAAAACAGCGTTTTCTTAAAATAAACGTATTGTTTACGGATTCGCCATTCGAATATAAAGCACTGTTTTTTTTGTTTTTTCATGTAGTCTTGTTGTTTTTTTTAAATTGTTGATTGTAAGGGGACAACCTGACCGTCGCTACGTCGTTCTTTACGTATTAACTGAGGAGTGGCTGCTAACCTCCTCATTGGTGGCTCCTGCATTTTGATTGGCTTCAAAAAGTCCTGCGTTATGATTGGTTGCTAGACCGCTTAGATGCGATGTTGCCGAGTTGTGCAAAAAGTGTTTGATAACTGTTATAATTGGAAAAGTGATAGCAAGCGTATCAATAGTTTGAGCTATATTGTATAGAGTTAGCAGGTTATTTGGGAAAAAGAAATTCTTAGCACTACAAATAACCAAACTTCTTCCTTACAGGACATGTAATGCTTTGAAATTTGTGCAAAATCCGAAATAACGCACAATCCCGTTTCAGGTACGTTATGTTACTGTGATGAGTTTTGCTCCCACATGGAGGTTGAAGACTGCTGTCCAGATTTCTACCCGGTATGCAGGAATATAAATATCACCACGACCATAAGGCCGTTCGTCACTACCAGAAGACCTCAACCTCCTCCCCAATCAAGTACTTCTTGCTTATGGAACGGACGGACACTATTCTACAAGCAGAAAGTTAAAGATAACTGTAATATATGGTGAGTTATGGGCAACTGTTAAACGTAGATGACTATTTCTTATATATTACTTTAATGATTTATTTTCATTATATTTAGACTTTTACGATACGTATAGCGTATGAACATATGACCAGGAATGATTCATATACTAAGTGATATATAAATCCGAACGCCCAGTTTAAATGGTTTTATTTTAATAAAAGTTGGTGAATGTATTGATCTTACTGTAAATAACAAGTGAAAAAATTTTCAGCCTTATCAGTTGGACATTCCGGTTTTTATACTGCTTTTTTTTAATTCACTAACGCTCTAAAAATGAATATTTCAGCCGCAGTAAAGAATCAACGTTGGCGGATTTTGGTTCTTGACATCCTTTACGATCGGTTACGATGCCTAGAGTACGGATACCTGTACGATTTCGTCTACTTAGTGAGTTTGATAGGGGCCGTATAGTGGGACTTCGGGAAGCTGGACTTTCTTTTTGGGCAATTGCAGTTAGAGTGCAAAGAAGTGTAGACACTGTGGTTAGGTGTTGTCAGGCATGGCTTCGAGAAGACCGTACGAAAAGAGCAAGGGGCACTGGACCCCGCCGTAGAACAACAGACCGTGAAGATCGCCGCCTAAGATTATTGGCCTTAAGGGACCGTTTCTCCACTACCAGGTCCATTGCAAATGAATGGTTTGCAGAACACGGAAGACCTATTGGCATGCGAAGTGTTTACCGACGAATGAGAAGTTTTGGCTTGTTTTCATACCGGCCACACTGGGTCCTCCCTTTAACTCGAGAACACCGACGTAATCGCCTTGAGTGGTGCAGACAACGGTCACTCTGGGATCAGAAATGGAACAGTATTGTCTTTAGTGACGAGTCTCGATTTTGTTTAGGCGACATGGTGAAAGGAGGAATCCACAGTTTTTTGTTGAAAGACATGTTCATCACACTGTTGGAGTTATGGTTTGGGGTGCTATAGCTTATGGTTCCTGGTCACCTTTAATCTTCATCAGAGGTAACAGGAACGCGCAGCGTTATATCCACAAAGTTCTAGAACCCCATCTTTTACCCTATCTTGACACCCTGGCAGATCCAACTTTCCAACAAGATAATGCCCGGCCACATGCTGCAAGAGTCACAATAGACTTCTTTCAACATAATGATGTCACATTGTTACCATGGCCACCAAGATCTCCCGACTTATCCCCAACTGAGCACGTGTGGGATATGATGGGTAGGAGATTGCTCAATTTGCAACGTCCTCCTCAGACTCTAGAAGCACTTCGAGAGGAGTTGGTGGTTGCCTGGAATGAGATACCACAGGAGGACATTGACCACCTGATCAGAAGCATACCTAGGCGCGTTGGAGAATGCGTAGCACATCAGGGTGCATCCACACATTATTAAAGGTCAAAGGGCTTTAAAGCAGTGCAATCATTTTGAAATTTTTACATTTACTTATTATGCTTCATTAAGTACTTATACAAAATTTTATTAAAATAAAACCATTTAAACTGGGTGTTCGGATTTATATGTCACTTAGTATATTTTGATCCGAAAGCGTGACTGCTTCTGGGTGGCCTACATACAGGGTGTCCCGAAAGTTTGAGCTTTTTAGAAACAACTACCCTTGGACTCTGGCGGTATAGTAGATACGGTCTGTCTGTGATCGAAGGGAAGAAAGCGATTCTTAAGATAACGTATGTCCCTAATGTTTTGGCATAAAATTCATTGGCTTAAATTTTAACAAACACAAGATATTGAATTCCGTCCAGGACCTCATGGGAGACATTAGAGAAAAGCTGCGGCTGGTAGATCAAAATGGGCCATTCCACATAATTCGATAGTATAGTTTAGTTAAGTATTAAGTTGTAATTTATGATAACTGGTTAGTGCTTAAATACATTTTTCCATTAAAAAAAAAATCCGATAAATATCTTGTGCCAAAACTTTTAGACCATTGTGGTGTTTTTAACATTTATACAATTGTGTTAAGAAGTTTGATATTAGTGAGGTAAGATAATGCAAGGGAAAACGATTTTTTTATCATTCCAGTGAATGCACTGATGTTGGCGGTAGACTGGAAATGTTATGCGAGAGGAACGTGTGTCTGATCGATACAAATATCATCGAATCGGTGAATTTAGAACAAGATATGTTAGGATGGAGAGCTACGAATTACTCAGAATTCTGGGGAAGGACTTTAGACGAAGGTGTCCGATACAGGTAAAAACGAATCCATGCATACATCATTAAATTTTAATTCCCTCCTGCTTCTCTTGAGCTTCAGACGTACTTTTAGATGTCTCCGTTTTTATTTCTTGCGAAAAAGTGCAACATTTGATTTTTGAGGATTGAATTACACAAGCCCGTGCACAGGCTTGCTTCTGTGGGTTTACTGTTTGTTAACCATTCTTGATCTGTACACGCTTTCATATTCGTCTTTCCATATCATCCTTATTTTAGGTAAATAATCACTGGACAACAAATTTTAGTTTTTTAATTGTATCTTGTGGGAAAAGTGCACTTCTTTATTAATTTTGGGGCGCTGAATCCAAAAATGACAATGAAATAAAAAAATTAGTTGCGGTGTAGAAAAAAATTTTTTTATTTTTAAAGATATATTAAAAAAAGTAACAAGATTCATATACTTATAAGAATCGCTATATGCGCTGTCTTTTTGCTGTTCTTTTATGGATTGTTTCTGGAGCATCTCTACCAAGAGTCCAACAGTAGTCTGCAAGCATGGAAGAATTCCACTTTCCCTGGTACCTTTTTGCCATTGTTGAAATATCCCGATGAAAACGTTCGCCGTGCTCATCACTTACGGCTCCGCAATTGTCAGGAAAAAAGTCCAGGTGTGAGTGTAGGAAATGTATCTTAAGAGACATATTACAGCCCATCTTTTGATACGATGACAGCATATTTTTGACAAGGGTTTTATAGTTGTCAGCTTTTCTATTTCCCAAGAAATTAGTGACCACCAGACGGAAATCATTCCAAGCAGTTTTTTCAATACCTGTTAAAGTGTTTTCAAACTGTGTATCTTTCAAAATATTTCGAATCTGTGGCCCAACAAAAATACCTTCTTTAACCTTTGCCTCACTTAGTCTTGGACATTTCTGACGCAGGTATTGAAAAGCTGACCCATCTCTATCTAATGCCTTGACAAAGTTTTTCATTAGGCCCAACTTGCAGTGGTGGTAATAAAATTTTTTTCGAATCTACTAATGGCATATGCTGTACATTTTTTTGACCTGGCTCTAGGAATTGACGAAAAGGCCAGTTTTGTCTGGTGTAATGAAGTGCCTTTGCCCGACTGTCCCATTCACACAAAAAACAGCAAAACTTTGTGTAGCCTAGCTGCAGCCCAAGTAAAAGTGCAACAACTTTCAAATCGCCACAAATATGCCATTGGTGCTCATCGTATTTTATGCATGTCAATAGGTACTTCATATTGTCATATGATTCTTTCATGTGAACTGCATACCCTACAGGAAGAGATGGTAAAATATTTCCAATATGCAATAACACTGCCTTTAAACTCAATGTTGAACTGTCTATAAACAATCTCCATTCTTCTGGGTTATAGTTTATATTTAAAGCCGCCAGTAAACCCTTAATGTTACTGCAGAAAACCAAGTTATTCTCCATATTGAAAAATGGTTCTGTCTTTGTGGCGTTTACGAAAAACACATACCGAAACATCGTCTTCTAACAAGTTCCACTGCTGCAGTCTTGATCCAAGTAACTCTGCCTTACATTTTGGAAGTTCTAAATCTCTTACAAGATCATTTAATTCTGACTGTGTTATTTTGTGCGGTTGGTGGCATGACGTGCTCGGTATAAAATCAGGATCTCTTGATGTTGATGGCGTATCTTCTTCCTGACGAATCACTCGATCGCCATGTTCTGATTCGTTTTCTGATTCGCAAGTGTAGGATTCTGGGGGTTTTGGAATAGGATTTTCGTCACTGTGAGGTTTAGGTCTCATCGCAGATGGTATGTTTGGGTAGTTAATAACCGATTTTTTTTTCTTGGACATACCTGTGGCTTGTCCAACACAAGGTACCATGCAAAAGTAACAATCATTAATTTGATTTGTAGGCTCTCTCCAAACCATTGGGACAGCAAAGCGCATAGACCGTTTTTTGCCATTTAACCAGCTCCTCAGACTTGAAGCAAATGTATTACAGCAGATGTGGGGTGCCCACTGTTTGTCTTGATCACCTAGTTTACAACCGAAATAAAGCTGATATGCCTTTGTTATTAGTGGAGTAATAGACCGTCTCTTTATCTTCCTGAGTATCGATATTGTAAAACAATCTGCCTGAAAAGGTTTTTCCCAGTTTTGCAAAGAGTCGGAATAACCTACTTACAGCAGTCGCAGTGCGCCGGGATTGACGATGCTCTAGGAAGCTGGATCCATATAAAAAGAAAAACCGATTCTGAAGCATTTGACGATTTTCCATTTACCCGAATACGCTGCACGGAATAATTATTTTTGTTTTCTTTTTAGATTGGGAACGTTAATTCCTCAGGCATTCGTAATGCACATGAATCCAGTACGTAGGATCTACGATATCCATTCGCTGCCAAGGAGCTTCGATTCCGAAACCAAATGGCCAAGGTACATCAGCGGAATTCAAGATCAAGGATGGTGCGGCGCTTCCTGGGCTATTTCAACAGCTGCCGTTGCATCAGATAGGTAATAGTTCAGGCATAATAGGCAAAAAATGTTGATAAATCCGCCGATATGCTGAAACGAAATGTATTTTTTTTTGTCTGGTAGCTAAAGTTTGGGAGCTTATTTTAGGTATTAATTAATGATAATAGACGTTATTATTTCTTTACAACAACAGTGTATTGCAGCTAAGGTAAATACTTGAATGGCGAAATTTTGCGTTTGCTTTCATTTAACAATAAAAGTTACTATACTATAACAATCTAAAACTGTAATGACTCATCGATGTTCACGTGAACATCACTTAACTACCAGTAGTCGGCTGTTACATGCGTAATAAAGAGCGGTTTGAAACATATTGTAAGTCAAAAATTTGGGAATTACCTTTATTCATCGTCGCTTCCACTTACATCTGACAGTAATAAACTGTCGCTATCGCTTTCCTCGTTGAAATTGACTTTAACTGGCTCTATGATGGTGTCGATGTGGTGGTCAAGCTGCCACATTTTTGTTTCTTCCTTCACAACATGACGGATAGCATTCTGCCAAGCTTCGGGCGTTACTAGCTGTATGGAAGTCTCAAGTAAAACCTTAACGTCTGGTAATTTGAAGGTTGTGTTATGGCGCGCAATATAACCCTTCACTTGAGCCCAGATGAGCTCTATTGGGTTCAGTTCACAGTAGTACGGCGGTAACCGCAGCACAGTGACACCACATTGACGGGCCATCTCATCAGTGATGTAACTAATGTTCGCAGGTTTGTGCTGTTTAATTTTTTCATACAATTCCGCTTTCACACATGAATCGTCAAACGGGATTCCTTTTTCGCGCAACCATTGCTGCATGTCACTTTTTCGAGATCCCATAGTCGGTACACGTTCGGCTCGACGACTATGGTAGGAAGCATTATCCATGACGATCACAGAGTTGGGCTCAACTCGCTGAAGCACCCCTTGAAACCAGCTCTCGAAGCAGCTGGCATTGATTTCGTCATGGTAATCACCACCTTTCTTAGAGACGAAAATCCAGTCACACTCTTCTAAAAAGCCACTATCGCTACCAATATGAGTTACGATCAATCTTTGACCTTTCCCTGACGGTCCACGAAGACCTGTTGACAAACCTTCAATGCTTGCTTGTCGGTTACTCACTACGTTTTTGTCTATCCAGGTTTTTTTAACTGTGTGACCTGCATTTACCCATGTCTCGTCCAAATAATAGATTTTTCTGCTTTGTCGCCTATATTCAATCATTTCGCGTAGGTATTTTCGACGCCAGGCGACTATTTCAGGTCTCTCTGTCAATACTGACGCGTTTCGTAACGAAAATTAATTTCGTGCAGGAATTTCATCATTACCTCGACGCTCATTTGGGGTATAATTTCATTTTCCTTGATCGCTGCATGTACAGCCATGAGGGTTGGTATCTCATTCCTAAAGAAGAATGAATGTACGGTTCGCCTTAACGCCATTTTGCTATCGTCATCCAATTTAACGGCCTTTCGTCCCTTCAAATTAAACTTTGGATCAGTAGTAGCTGCAGTTGTCTTCTTTTCATGCACCACCCTGCGAATGGTCCACTCCGGAACGCCTGTCATACTTTCACAACGCGCGAGTGCATCTCCCTGCGACATAGTTCTGTTCAGATAATTGAACACGTTGAGCACGATTTCTTTCGCGTCCCTCTTCAGTGCTTTACGAAGCCGTCTACTTGTTCCCTGGTTTTCAGTACTTCCACTTGTGCCATTTGTACTCTCCATGGTTAAGTATAACCAAAACAGTAACCACAGAAACCACAACAATAACAATCACACAACAATTCTTATAAAAAGACACAATATGCGATCGCTCAACGAAACACGTTCCAATGCGTTGCCGACGCCTATGAGTCTGCCGGTCGAGGCGCGTCTTTGATTTCATTGGTTTTACCGGCGGAGAACAATCAGCCATTATTTCCATCTCTATCTGTGCTGTTGACCACCGCAAAGCCACAGAAACGACATATGTCGTACGCTATACGGCTGTACTGGAAGGAAGCCGGGATCGAGCTCTGATCACGTGTTGATCACGCGTATGAGTCATTACAGTTTTAAATAGTTGTAGTATAGCCGATAATAATAATGAAATATAATTCATAACAAATATTAAGTTTTAGTAATGAATTATTACAGTAAAGCGAAAACTGGCATACTGTTCAAAGCAAAGTGCACCTGAAAGTAGAAAACAAAAAAATGGTTAGGAAAGTAAGAAAGCATGATTGTGTAATCAAGTCATTGAAGTAATGATGATTCCACTGTTTGTCGAGAAGCTCGTAATGAGTATTGTTTATACGATTTTGGTAAATAATTATACATGGTATAAACGTTATGATAGTCATTATTTAAGTGGATGATAGAGGCGGTTAAAAAAAGCAAAAAGTACTCGTAAAATGCAAACAATTAAAAAAAAACGGACCTACCACTAACTGTCTTAGCGCTTCAGCTGGTGTGTGAAAGTTTATTGAACGTATTAAAAATCCACTTATAAATAGGCAACACAATTTTGATACATACATTGTTTTTCTTTTTAAAACCCACACTGCACTTTTTTTGTTTTTAAAGAAGGTGTTCAAAATGTCGTCCTCCACTTTCCACACAAGCTTCATTACGACGAACCCAGTTTCTTCTTACTCTAGGTCCTCGAAGTTGACCATTTATTATTTCAGCCGCATTAAATTTTTGTTTCGAGAAGTTGTGCTTCAGTTGTTATTGGACCAGCCCCATAAACCATCCCTTTAAGTTCTCCCCAATACCAGAAATCCATCGGATTGAGGTCAGGAGACCTTGCTGGCCATTTTCGAGGATCAGGAGCATTTCGACCGATCCAGCGATTTGGATAATGTTCATTCAAATACTGAATGACGCCTCTAAAAATGTGTGGTGGTGCCCCGTCATGAAGAAACCACAAATTCTGTCTCCGTTGTAATGACATGTTGTCTAAGGTCTGTTCCAAAAGTTTTGATAGATTATTGGCTAGAAAGCTAAGATACTACAGTAACCTGTTTTTCACGAGTGCGAATATTAGTGGGCTGAACACTTCCTGTATCTCGAAGCCTTTGGTACACTTGTACAATTGTCCTTCTGTTTGGGTGTACCCGTTGGCGAAATATGTCGCGATAAATTTGAGCTGCAAGATTTGAATTCTGACGAGCTTCACCGTAAACTAACAACATATCGGCGAACACTTGATTCGAGAACATTGTAAATAAACACGACGACGTACGCGAACAAAAACAAAATAACATACTAACCACTGTTACCGTTTGCGATCGATTGCCGGTTCGATAAGAGTGATGAAAGACGGACGCGCTGTTGTCATGTGTGTTTTAAATATTTGATTTAATGAAACTTACTTACTGACTACTGTTGCTTAACTTAGAAAAATTTAATGCCATTTATTTGTTAATTACCCAATTTAAAAACGTTTTAGGTCAGATTATAAAAATTAGTGAGATTGTGGTGATTTTGGTCGATATAAAGCACTTAAAGTTATAAACTATAAAGCCATTCAGACAAAAATCTATTGACTTTTGGACCATGAGTCATATGAACTTTTTGACTTGTTTTGACTCCTCCTCCTCCTCCTTCAACAATGACTACCATAACGTTTACACCCTGTATATGGTTGCAATATTCTAGGAGAAATAGTGTTGAAATAGCGTTGTTGAATACTGAGCTATCGTGATAATTTTATTTCTAAGTGGTCTACAAGTATTAAATGAAACATTTTTTTCACAAGTAAGGCGGGTTCGACGTAAGGATTGACTTAAAGATGAAAATCGAGTAGTGATAATTTCAGCCAAGTGGGTATTGGATATTTTGCCGATACATTTTGGATGATTTGAGTTAGGTTTTTGGTATAGCTGTCTAGACATGGATAGCATACTATGTTACAGTAAATTAGAACAGATATGACCAAGGATTCACATATTTTATTACGTAACTTCATCTCATATATAACTTTCTGACTTATGAAGACATTGTATTCAAGTAGTGTGTCTATGGGGATTGAATCTCACTGTTTCTAAAATCCGCCACTGAGTTGGACGGAATCTGTATGTGAAATTGATGAGTTGGGGATTCCGCCGCTAGATGGCGCTATACAAACCAAACGGAATCTATGTGTCATTGGGCACCTGTCATGCGTCATTGGGCATCTCGCGCATAGATGGCGCTACACACGTCATCTCTCATACGTCATTGGACACCTGTCATTGATGGGTTGGGCATCTCGCGCATAGATGGCGCCGATGTCGCACCTGGATGGTGTTGGCGTGGATATACGGGGGGCAAAAAATTTAGAACCTGTATACAGGGGTGCATCGAAAAATAGCGGATCGATGGACCGACGGTATATCGTTAAATCGTATATAGCAAGGCGTGACCTAAATAGCGTGGTGGGCTCCTCTGGTCGGTCGGTCAGAATGTCTTATAACCTGTATACGATGTACTGTTATTATACAGGATGATACCGTTCAAAATGAAAATAGTACATGTATAATGGATATTTTATTGAAACATATAGTATATATAACAATAAGGTTGATTGGTGTGTGTGTGTGTGTGTGTGTGTGTGTGTGTATGAAATTTTCAGTTGCCTACAGTGTCGTCTGAATCAATATCGCTGTGTTCTGGTCGTGCAGGTAGATTGAATGATTGTTTTAAGTGATTCTTGTAATTATCAGGGAGTACTTTAGATGTTGATACTAATCGACTCAAATCATTCTTCGACAACTCATATTTGGTTCATGACAGACAAAAATCAAATTATGTATTTCACGGTTCAGTTCTGGTTGTTTTTTAAGTTTTTCCCTAAAAGCATCGTAATTAGCCTCCTCGCTGGTTATGTTTGGTTTTACCATTTTTTTATATCAACCTCTTTTTGAACAAAACAATTGCTTGCGACTGGTTTGAATGATTGATACTGTAGCACTGCTAGTGCTGATACACAGACTTTATGTAGTAGAATGATGGTGGGGGTGGGGAGTCGAAGGAACCGAATGTTTTTTTTTTTGTTTGACAACAGGCTGAATACGAAATAAACATAGCTTTCAGAAAAATGTATTTTTTTAATGATATACAGATACAAGTTTAGATAACAGAGTTTTTAGTTGATGTAACAAATCCTCGCTGGGGCATGGTACTCCAAATAGAGTCCAATGAAATGGTCCGGTCGCAACAACTTTTCTTGTAAATTCATTAAATTTATAGTAAGTTGCGTGACGGAAAAAGTAAATATGACCATCAATCCATCGAAATGCGAGAGAAATATCTTCAGGTAACCCAGGAAATATGTCTCTTATCCGTCCTCTGTTCAACACATCAGTAAAATCGTTAGAAAATTCTATATATGACATATTATTATAAAAGGTATAGGACCGTCCTGCGTTTGATTGAAAAATTATTATTTTGAATACTAAAAAGATTACTATTAAGGTTCCTTCTGTAGTATTCGCATTTCTCTGTTCCCTTTGTGTTCATTGCTGTATTGCAGGTACGCGATTGTATCTAAGGGACTGGAGGAAGTAAAGCTAAGTGCTCAAAATCTCCTTTCTTGCGACACGATGGGTCAACAAAGTTGCGAAGGTGGACATTTGGATAGAGCTTGGTCATTCACGAAAAAGTTTGGGTGCGTATATCAGCATATTACATGCATTTCTGAGTGCTTATTGGAAACCCTTGCAAATTAGATCCTTGAAACTATCATGTGTTCTCTTTTCTTTACAGCCTAGTTGACGAGGAATGTTTCCCATACGTAGCAGAAAATGAACCCTGTACAATCAGGAGAAGCGGGAAACTGGTTGAATCCGGATGTAAACCGCCAAGGTTCAGTGAAAGAACCAGAAGATATTCCGTGGGACCGGCGTATAGGTTAGGAAATGAAACTGATATCATGTATGAGATCATCAAATCAGGACCTGTCCAAGGTAAGTCAACAAAGATAAAATCTTTTTGATTTCAATGTGTTGATAAAAAATGATATTGATTTTGTCGTTTCAGCGACAATGAAGGTGTACCATGACTTCTATTCGTACGAAGGTGGTATCTACAGGCACACAGACTTCGGTATTGGGCAGCAAACTGGATATCTTTCTGTCAGGATCGTTGGGTGGGGTGAAGAATACACAAGTAGGGGTGTCCAGAAATATTGGGTAAGCGCTTGGTAAAAAGTTTTTCTAACCATATTGTTTATACAGATTTCTTCATTGCCATTGCCAATAGATTTCTACCAGCATTTTAATTACAATTTACAAAACGTGAAAAAAAATTGCGCGGCGAGTTGACACCTTATGCAGTATCATAAATAATAAAAAAGTGTACGATTTACAAGTCGTCAGATGTTACCGTAGTTGGGTTGTTAAAAGTAATTTGCCTAGAATATGGAAAGTAATCTCTTACTTTCTCGTACGAGCCCTAACACAGAATAGTTCGGACATTATCTAATTTTATCTTAAGTGTATTTATTTTCTTAAGGTTACAAAATATTATTTGCTTTTATAAGACATTGAAATATATTGTTTGGACATCAAACTAACAAAATTATTATCAAGCAATACGATAAACTACAGAACTAAAAAATAATATAGTTTCTACATGGTTTTCGCAGTATTCCTCCTTAAAAGAATCCCATATGCACCGTTTGTTGCTTTACCACGCGACATTTTAAAGCAAATTGATTCACAGAATTGACTCTTAAATCAAAACGTCAATTGTAAACACTTTTTTGTATCCATGGCCTGCAGTTTTGTTAATATATATATATATATATATATATAACTTGAGACGTGGACATTGTCGTCTAGACCAGTTAGGTGAAAAATTAAAGCTTCCGCCTTTTGTTGGGTACTTCGACAAAATTTAAGCAAGGAGGACTCTTTATACTTTTTTATTCTCTCTAGCTTTCAATGGTCTTTGCCATCATCATCAGGAGCTGCAATTACATTGATAACAGTAGCAACAATTGTGTAAAATGAATTTAAATTAACTTACAGTAGTATGTGAGGATGTTGCTTGCATCCTTAACGTAAACAACAATTAGCAACATCCTCACATACTACTGTATGTTGATTTAAATTCATTTTACACAATTGTTGCTACCTGTTATCAATGTAATTGCAGCTCCTGATGATGATGGCAAAGACCATTGAAAGCTAGAGAGAATAAAAATGTATAAAGAGTCCTCCTTGCTTAAATTTTGTCGAAGTACCCAACAAAAGGCGGAACCTTTAATTTTTCACCTATATGTATATATATATATATAGTATATAGGTGAAAAATAAAGCTTCCGCCTTTAGTTGCGTACTTCGACAAAATTCAAGCAATGAGAACTCTTTATACTTTATTCGCCTCTAGCTTTCAATGGACTATGTCATCATCATCAGGAGCTGTAATAACATTAAGAAGAAGCATATATATATATAGCTATATATATGGCTTCACGATGTAATGCTTTCATGTTTTAAAAAAAAATTTAATATGTTTTTAACTTGTTCTTGTCACACATTTGTGTGTATTTTATATAATTTTGACCATTGTAACATCTATCCAGCTTTCACCATGTTACTGGGCGTTTCCCTCATCCTGAACGTAAACAACAATTAGCAACATCCTCCATACTACTGTAAGTTAAGTCAATTTAAATTCATTTTACACTATTGTTGCTACTGTTATCATTGTAATTGCAGCTCCTGATGATGATGGCAAAGTCCATTGAAAGCTAGAGAGAATTAAAAAAAGTATAAAGAGTCCTCTTTGCTTAAATTTTGTCGAAGTACCCAACAAAAGGCGGAAGCTTTAATTTTTCACCTATATATATATATATGATGTGCAAACAATATATTGCATAGTCTTATAAAAGGAAAACAAATAATGAATTAAGCTTACAAAAATAAACAAACTTTTAGATAAAAATAGATAGTGTCCGAACATTTGTGTATTAGGGCTCGTACTACATTCCCGTTTTTTTCAAGATTACCAAAGTGAAAGGTCTGTCATTCAAACCAATTGATATGTGGTGTCATTCGGATTATACATTTTGGTTTTTCCAACATTTCAGAAAGTGGCGAATAGCTGGGGCAGCCAATGGGGAGAAAACGGTTACTTCAAGATTCTGAAAGGAGTCAACGAGTGCGAAGTAGAATCTTTTGTTCTTGGGGCATGGCCACGTGTCGATAGGAAGATTCTCCTAGCGCATGGACAGCGAAACTCGAATAGAATTTAACACAATTCTGTGTTCAGTACTTAGATTAGTATTTTTAAGCTCGTAGATACTATTTTGAAGCTGCCATGGTATTTAAGTTTGTACATTTCAGATCTTTACCCAATTTTGGATATTTAAATACCGTTATCCAATTGACATGAGCATCGTTGCCCATGTTTAAAGAAAAATTTTCAAGATTAATCTACCCCGATACGGATACACTAACTGTAGGACCTTATAAAAATATTTCTTTTCATTTAGAATAAATAATACAACATACGTCAAACGAGGAAAAGTTTCTCGGGTAACGTTTTATATGAACGGCCTATATCTAACTATAATTTATTTTTTATACCAGACATTGCCTTACCCTTAATTTATTTTTTAGTGTACTCCACGCATTTCAGGTAGGTGCTAGGTCAGTATTTCATAGATTTGCATAATAAAACATTCTTTGTTATAATACCAGTGATCAAAAGTGGAACACCGATATATTTGAATAGTTGTTATTATCGTATACGTCATTATCATTTGACATATTTGAAATTAATGTTCCACTTCAGAATCCAGCTGCCATTAGATATATGTAAAATCAGTGATTTTTATTAGAAATTGTATACTAAGACAGTGTAATCGTAACTAAGAGTGTAATATATTTTTAGAAAGCTTTTATTTTACATGTGATTTATTATTTACAAAACCCCTGTCCTCATTATTTTCGTCAGTCCTTCCACGTTGTTGGTTTTTATGCAATTTCTGCTCTGGGTGATGGCATTTGCAGCATTTGGACCAACTGAAAAAATATATCAATGATAGTCGTGTAAGATGTAGCAATCTGTAAAGGATAGATAACGACAGATAACATGAAACATTGTCGTAGGTAGGTTAGGTAGGTATACTTTATCTGAAGTCACTTGAAATAGCATAAAAACCTTTGGTCGGCGCGTCCTTCGTAATTTCATGACGTATCATAGGCGTGCGGTCATTTATTTAGAACGATAATAATAATGTTTTTATATCACAATAAATGGATTTTACTATCTTCTTATTTTTAAAAATTACAGAATTCCAACGTTTGACATAGGCAAATATTTACATAGCAGGTAGGTATATAAAGACTTACATTATAGGTATTTATATTTATCATCCTCGCCTTCGGAGCTGTCGCTAGCGTCATCTTGTAGAGGAATTACAACGGGATTTACAGGAGGCAAAACACAATATTCATTTTATTTTTCAATAATATGCCTAGAACACTGCTTCCATAGGTCTGTGGCAGCAATATGAGATACTGCATCTCTTATTGTGGCCAATAGTGATTCACTTAATTGAGGGGTCTGATTATGTTTTCTTACTTTTTTTTTAAAGCAGCCCAGACCAACTCAATCGGGTTAAAAATGCAGTAATAGGGAGGTAGACGTAATACTTCATGGCCATTTTGCTGAAGCAGATTGTCAACAACATACTCTTTTTCAAATTTTTGTCTTTTAATAAGATCCAATAATATGGCTTTGGTTGATTTTTGTGGTATTTTCATTCCCTTATCCTTCATAAAATCAATAATGTCTTGTTTTTTTGTGCCTGTATTCGGAATTTTGTTTTTCTGTCGGGAATGGTATGCCGCATTGTCCATAATAATCACTGAATTTGGGGAAATGTTTGGTATTAACTGCTGCTCTATCCACTTTTCAAATAAGTTGGAGGTCATGTCCTCATGATGGTCGGCACATGATTCTTTGATATTTTTGGCAGATAACAGCAAGGCATTAGGTATAAATCCATTTTCACTGCCAGCATGGAGAATAATGATTCGTTTTCCACGGTTGCATGGTGCATTTAAAATGCACTTGTTGCTGTCGTCAACCCAGCCGTACTGCACAACATCATGGGTATCATACCACGTTTCATCCAGGTAAATCAGATTTCTTTTCTGCTCTCTATAGATTTTAACTTTGTGCAAAAATTCTTGGCGCAATTCAACGATTCGAGACGACTCCATAATCACCACTCTTTTATCTAATTTTTTGTATTGAAAACCGCACAGTTTTACAATACAGTGCAGTGAGTCTAAGCATTTGTAATTATAAAAATCTTCAGGATAATCTTTTAATTTATCCCGTATCATTTCCAACGTGGGCACCAAATTTTCTTTATAAAATCCGTATATTATACGACGAATATCTTCCTGAAAACCCACGTCTATTCTTTTTAATTTTTGCCCTATGCGCTTTCTGTGGAAGGAATGGTTGACTACATCTCCCCTTTTTATAACCCGATAAATGGTAGACCGACTGATTTTTGTCAGGATACAAATTCTGTTTAAAATTTGATTTTGCGAGGAATCTGGATTTTCGTTTTTCAATATTTCAATATTTGCTGCGAAATTTGGCGATTTTTGCAGCAACAGAGCGTGTTAAATATAGATATATAAAACGCACCCGGTATTTCACAGTGTTTCAAGTGACTTCAGATAAAGTATACGTGACTACAGAAATCTGGGGGTATGGCAAACAGAAGCTTAAAGGGTAAATTTACGAAAATCTATATTCTGATAGATGCGTAGAAATATCCGTAACTTTGAAACGTTAAACAACGAAGTCTAAGTATTTATTTATTTTTTGTACTTGGCATAGTAGAAAACTTATGTGAAAATTTCACCAAAATCCGAGCGGTACTTTCCAAGCTATAGTGGGGTCAAGAATTAGCTGACACACAGGCCGACAGACAGATCGATGAAAATGATGGGGTTGTCCAAAACGGAAGCAGGAAAGTAAACGCATATTAAAACAAGAAAGATTGATATTCAAATCAAGTTGGGTACTTTATTTTGAAGGTTCATTTATACCTTTTATGTATGAAAAATAATATCGCTCAAATGTTCACCACGACTGGATTTACAGACGTCCACGCGATGGTCGAAATTTTCAATGACATTTTGTAACATGGTCGGTTCTATGGCATTTATCTCGGCAATGATGTTGTTTTTGAGTTCTTGGAGGGTGGCTGGTTTGTTGACGTAGACCTTGCTTTTCAAATATCCCCATAAAAAGAAGTCCAAGGGAGTCAAATCGCACGATCTTGGTGGCCATGGCACATTTCCTCTGCGCGAAATCACGCGATCACCGAAGAAGGACTGCAATCGATGGATATTGACGTTGGTTGTGTGGCATGTTGCACCGTCTTGTTGGAAATAAATATCGTCCATATCCATTCCTTCAAGTTGCGGCAAAAAATAGTCCTCTATCATCACGTGATATCGCTCAGAATTGACGGTAACGGCGTCCCCGGCCGCATTTTCAAAAAAGTAAGGTCCGATGATGCCTTTTGACCACAATGCACAACACACAGTCACTTTTTGAGGATGCATCGGCTGCTCTTGATACTCACGGGGATTTTCATTCGCCCAAATGCGGCAGTTTTGCTTGTTTACCGTCTCATTCAAAGTGAAATGCGCTTCGTCGCTGAACATGATTTTTGATGAAAAATTGGCATCAATTTGGCGGTGTTCAAGGAGCCAATCTGAGAACGTTCGGCGCGAAAAATGGTCGGCCCGACGCAGCTCTTGCGTCAATTGGATCTTGTAGGCGTGTACATTCAAATCCTTGTGGAGAATGCGGAGCAAACTGGTTCTCGAAATGCCCAATTCTTGGGATCGACGCGTTGTTGATTGTGTCGGATCGTCTCTCACACTCCCCTTCACAACAGCAATATTTTCCGGTGTGCGAACGCTCCTTGGCCGGCCAGAGCCTGGCAGATTTGCCACAGAACCTGTTGCCTCGAATTTACGCACCAGACGACCGATGGTCGTTTCGTTTGGGCGGTTGTTGCGACCGAAATGTTCATGAAGCGCGCGAAACGTCTTTTTTATTTTTGCACCATTTTTGTAGTGCTCTTGAATAACTTTAATGCGGTCTTCAATCGAATACGACTCCATAGCGATCAATGGTAAACATTCAACTAACAAAATGACATGTCGGTGACAGAAAACAAAGATGGCGTCTATGTCAAATTGACGTTTACTTTCCTGCGTCCCTATTGGACAGAGGCGGGGAAAATAAGGTCTGATGAACATTTTTATTCATTTTGAAAACTTACCGCGAAGTCGAGATCCATGCTGAATTATCCCGTTGATTTCTTTCATAGTTTCCACGCCTTCGTTATAGTTTTGCAATCGAACATTGTGACCATTGATCAATTCTTGGTTAACCGCATGCAGTTCTGTGTAGTGTTCAGCCATAGACTTTCTACAAAAACACAAAGGAATATCGGAGGTGCACGGAAGGTGAAATTGCATCTACTTACAGTTCAGCTAATATTCTACTATCTTCAGCTTTTATTACTAAAAATTTGATATGAGACAGCCTATCAGCAACATCAGTTGCTAATTTCGACCTTGCTTCTTGTATACTCGACAATCTTTCAAGAAGAGCCTTTAGTTTCGTTTCTTGGAGAGGAAAGTTTGCTTGTGACTGAAACATAGATTTTTCATTTACATGAAAATAAGTGAACTCGGCAAAGACTGAAAAAGCACATTTCAATGTCCTCAATTACTATAGCCGTATCCTAGCAACGGTTTTTGCAACCGACAGATTCAATTCAATTCCTTAAGTACTGCGCGCGTGTTTGCAGAAGATGAAAAAGACAATGATGACATTTATCAACAATAGCAAGAATAACACTGATCAACAGCCAAAAAATATCCTAAATAAAATCAACAAAATATTACTATTTTTAATGTGCTAAAACCGGAATGAAACTTATTTTTTCAATATTAGTTCAAGTTTTAGAGATACGGTAATTATATGTGTTCCTGCTGTGACAGTGTTAATATACTGTAATTCACAAGAATGCACGTGCTACATTTTTATATTCGGCAAGGAAAGATGATGTAATCGGCATGATTGTGTTACGTTATACATACGTGTACATTATATTGTTTTATATTAGCCATTTTTTCCTCAGTTGGCTGACAGCGTTCATGCAAGATGTCTCGAAAGTGTGTAAACAATCCAGATCAGTTTTGTTACGTGTGTGGTGATGTGACTTTTGCGTCTCAGAGACGGTCTATTACTCCACTAATAACAAAGGCATATCAGCTTTATTTCAGCTGTAAACTAGGTGATCAAGACAAACAGTGGGCACCCCACATCTGCTGTAATAAATGTGCTTCAAGTCTGAGGAGCTGGTTAAATGGCAAAAAAACAGTCTATGCGCTTTGCTGTCCCAATGGTTTGGAGAGAGCCTACAAATCATATTAATGATTGTTACTTTTGCATGGTACCTTGTGTTGGACAAGCCACAGGTATGTCCAAGAAAAAAAAATCGGTTATTAACTACCCAAACATACCATCTGCGATGAGACCTGTGCCTCACAGTGACGAAAATCCTATTCCAAAACCCCCAGAATCCTACACTTGCGAATCAGAAAACGAATCAGATCATGGCGATCCAGTGATTCGTCAGGAAGAAGATATGCCATCAACGTCAAGAGATCCTCATTTTATACCGAGCACGTCATGCCACCAACCGCACAAAATAACACAGTCAGAATTAAATGATCTTGTAAGAGATTTAGAACTTCCAAAATGTAAGGCAGAGCTACTTGGATCAAGACTGCAGCAGTGGAACTTGTTAGAGGACGATGTTTCGGTATGTGTTTTTCGTAAACGCCGCAAAGACTTAGAACCATTTTTCAATATGGAGAATAACTTGGTTTTCTGCAGTAACATTAACCGCTTACTGGCGGCTTTAAATATAAACTATAACCCAGAAGAATGGAGATTATTTACATATATAGACAGTTCAACATTGAGGTTAAAGGCAGTGTTATTGCATATTGGAAATACTTTACCATATCTTCCTGTAGGGTATGCAGTTCACATGAAAGAATCATATGACAATATGAAGTACCTATTGACATGCATAAAATACGATGAGCACCAATGGCATATTTGTGGCGATTTGAAAGTTGTTGCACTTTTACTTGGGCTGCAGCTAGGCTACACAAAGTTTTGCTGTTTTTTGTGTGAATGGGACAGTCGGGCAAAGGCACTTCATTACACCAGACAAAACTGGCCTGTTCGTCAATTCCTAGAGCCAGGTCAAAAAAATGTACAGCATATGCCATTAGTAGATTCGAAAAAAAATTTATTACCACCACTGCATATCAAGTTGGGCCTAATGAAAAACTTTGTCAAGGCATTAGATAGAGATGGTTCAGCTTTTTAATACCTGCGTCAGAAATTTCCAAGACTAAGTGAGGAAAAGGTTAAAGAAGGTATTCTTGTTGGGCCACAGATTCGAAATATTTTGAAAGATACACAGTTTGAAAACACGTTAACAGGTATTGAAAAAACTGCTTGGAATGATTTCCGTCTGGTGGTCACTAATTTCTTGGGAAATAGAAAAGCTGACAACTATAAAACCTTTGTCAAAAATATGCTGTCATCGTATCAAAAGATGGACTGTAATATGTCTCTTAAGATACATTTCCTACACTCACACCTGGACTTTTTTGCTGACAATTGCGGAGCCGTAAGTGATGAGCACGGCGAACGTTTTCATCAGGATATTTCAACAATGGAAAAAAGGTACCAGGGAAAGTGGAATCCTTCCATGCTTGCAGACTCTTGGTAGAGATGCTCCAGAAACGATCCATAAAAGAACAGCAAAAAGACAGCGCATATAGTGATTCTTATAAGTATATGAATTTTGTTACTTTTTTTAATATATCCCTAAAAATAAAAAGTTTTTTTTCTAAACCGCAACTAATTTTTCCATTTCATTGTCATTTTTGGATTCAACGCCCCAAAATTAACAAAGAAGTGCACGTTTCCCACAAGATACAATTAAAAAACTAAAATTTGTTGTCCAGTGATAATCATAAAAAAATACACAAGATCAATAAACACCTTCACAATCAAAAAAATTTGAAAAAAGCCAAAAAATGAAATAAAAATTCTGGAATTCTGACCTCCAACTGAGAACTGAAGACATCTCAGAATGGAAAAGTCCGTAATCTGATGTCAGCAAGACATTAGTTAAATTTATCAACATGTATACATGTGTTCAATATCAATATTATTATGGTTTTCACTTATAAAACATGAAATACCTCAGAAAATACTAGGTTTAGTTATAAGGAATGCTTAATAAATAATGTAACATTTTTCAGACTACTGACAGTGTCCGTATTACTGGAACATTCGCCCTATAAGATTTCGTTATTTATAAAAATATTATTTTTCGCTATTCATGTTTTTAAGCCTTTCAAAAATTGTTCACTAATCAATATAATGGATCTAAAAGAGCTATATTTACCACTGAAAAAATCTGATTTGAGTGCAGGTTCAGCATTTCGATCGATACCGTTACCAACAATGACTAAACTATAAGAGAATTCGACGAAAACCAACGAGCAACAAATTTCATTTAACTTCAAGTAAGATGCAGCGTCAGCCCGCTTGACACCGTTTGTAAGACCGAATTTCAGTATACAACAAAATTTTTTTCAAAGGAAGGATATCACAATATGATTTATCTATATTTTTGCCATCAGATTTATAGTACTCGTATGTAAATGCAACAGGTGCCTATGATATCACAGACATTAATAATTAAAATAAAAGAAATGCCCTTGCTAATACAAACAGGTGTGGAAGAATTCTAAGAACTCAGTTCGGCCACGGCCAACTTCAAATCCTAGAAGAACGTCTGTCGTCTGGTAAGCAATGTTGCAATTGTTTTTAACGGTTTTCGCGGGCAACACAGTCTTTTCGGGAGCGTTATTTTCAGTGTTTTCAAACGGAAAATTCGGCCACACCTGGAAAAGCGTGTTCGTAGCATGTAGATTAAGTGCTTGGTAGTTTTTGTAGTGGTTTACACCTTTGATTGCGGGAAGAATGAAGGAAAACTTCAGAGATACCGCGAACTTCTTACACTAGCTCTTCGGCGGCGTCAATTTCTGTGTTTTCAGAAGGAGAGCCCTGTCGTGCCTAGGAAAATCTGCTAGTGGCATGTGGACTAAGTGCTTGTGAGTGCTAGTAGTGATTTGCACCTTTGGATTACGGGAAGAATGAAAGAAAACTTCGCAGATACAGCGATACAAAAATGGCGGGAAAACGGCAAGTGCTAATTTATTTTATTTTTAGTTATTTTTTACAGGGTGTACACTTTTTTTTAAATTTGATTATAGTATGTAGTGCGCACAGAATCAGTTTATCTCAAAATAGTAAAATGATACAGTATATCAGGAAATCGTTAGTTTCAAGATAGTATAATCAAAATATCAATATGACGTTACGTCTCTTGTCTTCCAGCATCGACTTCATTCTTCGTATGGACGCCATATTGGATTTTTACACAGATGAATAGAGTTTTCAATTCTTATTCTAAAAATGCAAAACAAATATTGCCCAGGGGAATGGAACGTATAACGTAAACGTGTTGTGTGACATTGACCAGACTTATGATCCTTACAGAAGGAATTCGTGTGCTATAGGGTTGAACACCAACATCCGAAACGCTCCGTCATTTTCCCTGACAGAGGAAGCAACTAGCACAACCACCTGAACCTGCAACCCGGCTCTAAAAGTTCCATAACAGCGCCCAGAAACTTGTCGAGTCACACCTGGATGAGCCATTTAATCTTTATCAGCAAATATTGAACTCCATTAATAGAAATATAGATACAGAGTTCTGGAACTCCACGATAATCTGTGAATTAATAATAATATATAAAAAAACTAAGCCCCACGATTGATAGGAGTTAATCCCAGCTATTTAATGGTGACCTTAGATTTGATCTTGACCTTGACCTTCATGGTCATTTGACGAACGACCAAGTCGTTTTTTTTAAAGTGGGACCTCCTATGTTTAACCTCGTAAATAAAAAGAGCTGAAAATTTTACGTTTACCATCCTCAAGTTTTGACCTTAGGAGGTCATAGTCAAAGTCAAACCCAGGCACGGTGATATAACCTCAAAACCGGTAGTAGTATAGGAAAACTTCCGAGACATTATTTTCATGACTTTTTCCATCATATCAAATGGTGACCGTGGATCTGACCTTAACAATGATGACCTTCACGGTCATGTAGACGTCAAGTCGATTTTTGTAGGCAGGGAACAATCCTAAAAGAACAGTGAAGTCACTTTATCTGGGGATAAGCTTATGTTTGACCTTGATGGTCAAGTCCAAGGCAAGTTCCAAAAATGGCCAGAGACACATTCAAACATGAATTTTCCTCTTTTCTCCGTTTCTGCGGTCAAAAGGATATGGTCCCACTAAAAAAGATTTTTCATGTTCAAGGTCAGATCCGGGGAAAAGTCAAGAAAATAATGTCTCAGTAGTTTCTCTATACGACTACTAGCTTTGAAGTTATATCACCGTACCTGGGTCTAAGCTTGACCAAGACCTTCTAAGGTCAGCATTAAAGAATACCCAAGATCATATACTAAGTGACATATAAATCCGAACACCCAGTTTAAATGGTTTTATTTTAATAAAAGTTGGTGAATGTATTTATCTTACTGTAAATAACAAGTGAAAAAATTTTCAGCCTTATCAGTTGGACATTCCGGTTTTTATACTGCTTTTTTTTAATTCACTAACGCTCTAAAAATGAATATTTCAGCCACAGTAAAGAATCAACGTTGGCGGATTTTGGTTCTTGACATCCTCTACGATTGGTTACGATGCCTAGAGTACGGAGACCTGCACGATTTCGTCAACTTAGTGAGTTTGATAGGGGCCGTATAGTGGGACTTCGGGAAGCTGGACTTTCTTTTAGGGCAATTGCAGTTAGAGTGCAAAGAAGTGTAGACACTGTGGTTAGGTGTTGTCAGGTATGGCTTCGAGAATGCCGTACGCAAAGAGCAAGGGGCACTGGACGCCGCCGTAGAACAACAGACCGTGAAGATCGCCGCCTAAGATTATTGGCCTTAAGGGACCGTTTCTCCACTACCAGGTCCATTGCAAATGAATGGTTTGCAGAACACGGAAGACCTATTGGCATGCGAAGTATTTACCGACGAATGAGAAGTTTTGGCTTGTTTTCATACCGGCCACACTGGGTCCTCCCTTTACTCGAGAACACCGACGTAATCGCCTTGAGTGGTGCAGACAACGGTCACTCTGGGATCAGGAATGGAACAGTATTGTCTTTAGTGACGAGTCTCGATTTTGTTTAGGCATGCACGATGGTCGTGCCAGGGTTAGAAGGCGACGTGGTGAAAGGAGGAATCCACAGTTTTTTGTTGAAAGACATGTTCATCACACTGTTGGAGTTATGGTTTGGGGTGCTATAGCTTATGGTTCCAGGTCACCTTTAATCCTCATCAGAGGTAATATGAACGCACAGCGTTATATCCACGAAGTTCTAGAACCCCATCTTTTACCCTATCTTGACACCCTGGCAGATCCAACTTTCCAACAAGATAATGCCCGACCACAGGTTGCAAGAGTCACAATAGACTTCTTTCAACATAATGATGTCACATTGTTACCATGGCCACCAAGATCTCCCGACTTATCCCCAATTGAGCACCTGTGGGATATGATGGGTAGGAGATTGCTCAATTTGCAACGTCCTCCTCTGACTATAGAAGCACTTCGAGAGGAGTTGGTGGTTGCCTGGAATGTGATACCACAGGAGGACATTGACCACCTGATCAGAAGCATGCCTAGGCGCGTTGGAGAATCCGTAGCACATCAGGGTGCATCCACACATTATTAAAGGTCAAACGGCTTTAAAGCAGTGCAATCATTTTGAAATTTTTATCATTTACTTATTATGCTTCATTAAGTACTTATACAAAATTTTATTAAAATAAAACCATTTAAACTGGGTGTTCGGATTTATATGTCACTTAGTATAATAACCAAAATATTACAAACAATAACACAGTAGCACTATAGCGCACTATCTATAACATAAACAGGTCGTCGTTTTAAGTGACCTCAACCATAATTGTAAGCCTTCTAGAAATATGGTTGACGTATTTTGTTTGCTTACAAAAATAGCATCTTCAGAACAAAGTTCTATTTCGCTTACCTCCAAATGGTCGATATTCAAGTAGGAGCAAAGTGACTGCACCAAATCCGACGCGAGCACAATGTTGGCCGTATAAAACGTAACTTTCCCGGAAATCTCGAACTGCATCATCAGATCTGTTGCATCTCTCAGACATAAAAGATTCACTATCAAATTCGGTCCGGTATTGAATTCGACATCGTCAGGCAGCAAAAAATTTTGATTGATCCACATGCAGATTCTCTGCAAACGCTCGTTGATCTTGAATTGGACGAAAGACTCCGTTTTTAAGACGTCTTTGTTGGTTTTCAGGGCGTACATTGAAAACCTGGGTAGCTGTCTCGTTATTTCAAAGACGTGGAATTGGATGCTCTTCGGGTAACCTACCATTGCCTGTCGGGAGATGGAAAAAAGATACAGCCAACAGTGTATACTTTATCTGAAGTCACTTGAAACACTGTGAAATACCGGGTGCGTTTTATATATCTATATTTAACACGCTCTGTTGCTGCAAAAATCGCCAAATTTCGCAGCAAATATCCCCCGTATAAGATCAAAGGCAGTTTCACCGGTCCACGTGGAGTAAAGCACGCCTATGCGTGGACATAGCCAATGAGAAAGCGTGTATTTCAGAGCTCCGAACAAGTGCAGGTGGCTACTGAAAATTGAAACAGTTTAGCCAGTGCCGTGTAGCGGTGAATAAACGTGTTTTCTTTAGTCTGTCCGTATTTTTTCATAGATTTTATTAGTTTGTGTGTTTTTGACTTTTGAATACTCAGTTTACTTGTTGATTTAATTGTTGTGTTGATTGTTCTTGTGTGTCCTAAATATGGCTCTTTGGAGACCTTGGGAAAATGCTACAAGCCACGAGGAGATGGTTGATGAACCTGTGCAGGCAGAATTCTTTCATAAAGATTTAGAGGAACAGACCCAAAGAGTAATCCTAAATATGTATGATTGTCTGAAAAACGAAAATCCAGATTCCTCGCAAAATCAAATTTTAAACAGAATTTGTATCCTGACAAAAATCAGTCGGTCTACCATTTATCGGGTTATAAAAAGGGGAGATGTAGTCAACCATTCCTTCCACAGAAAGCGCATAGGGCAACAATTAAAAAGAATAGACGTGGGTTTTCAGGAAGATATTCGTCGTATAATATACGGATTTTATAAAGAAAATTTGGTGCCCACGTTGGAAATGATACGGGATAAATTAAAAGATTATCCTGAAGATTTTTATAATTACAAATGCTTAGACTCACTGCACTGTATTGTAAAACTGTGTGGTTTTCAATACAAAAAATTAGATAAAAGAATGGTGATTATGGAGTCGTCTCGAATCGTTGAATTGCGCCAAGAATTTTTGCACAAAGTTAAAATCTATAGAGAGCAGAAAAGCAATCTGATTTACCTGGATGAAACGTGGTATGATACCCATGATGTTGTGCAGTACGGCTGGGTTGACGACAGCAACAAGTGCATTTTAAATGCACCATGCAACCGTGGAAAACGAATCATTATTCTCCATGCTGGCAGTGAAAATGGATTTATACCTAATGCCTTGCTATTATCTGCCAAAAATATCAAAGAATCATGTGCCGACTATCATGAGGACATGACCTCCGACTTATTTGAAAAGTGGATAGAGCAGCAGTTAATACCAAACATTTCCCCAAATTCAGTGATTATTATGGACAATGCGCCATACCATTCCCGACAGGAAAACAAAATTCCGAATACAGGCACAAAAAAACAAGACATTATTGATTTTATGAAGGATAAGGGAATGGAAATACCACAAAAATCAACCAAAGCAAATATTATTGGATCTTATTAAAAGACAAAAATTTGAAAAAGAGTATGTTGTTGATAATCTGCTTCAGCAAAATGGCCATGAAGTATTACGTCTACCTCCCTATTACTGCATTTTTAACCCGATTGAGTTGGTCTGGGCTGCTTTAAAAAAAAAGTAAGAAAACATAATCAGACCCCTCAATTAAGTGAATCGCTATTGGCCACAATAAGAGATGCAGTATCTCATATTGCTGCCACAGACCTATGGAAGCAGTGTTCTAGGCATATTATTGAAGAAGAAAATGAATATTGTGTTTTACCTATAATGTAAGTCTTTATATACCTTTTTATATACCTACCTGCTATGTAAATATTTGCCTATGTCAAACGTTGGAATTCTGTAATTTTTCCATTTCTTAACTTTCAGTCAACACAAATTAAAATCCCAATATAAGTATTTTTTATCCCAAATCAAAAAAATAAATCCATTTATTGTGATATAAAAACATTATTATTATCGTTCTAAATAAATGACCGCACGCCTATGATACGTCATGAAATTACAAAGGACGCGTCGACCAAAGGTTTTTATGCTATTTCAAGTGACTTCAGATAAAGTATATGTAGTTCGTAAATGTCTTCCTATAAAATCCTTTCTTAAGGAAACGGTGACAGAAAATTCGCGTGTTGGTCTTGAGAATAAACCAAAATAAGTTTCCCAGAAATTAAATTAAGATACATAAATTTTTCTGAATTTTATGATCCTTAAATGCACCACCCATTTCGTCTAGCCTTTAATTTGTGTTACTCTGTTTATGATGGTTCTCAGGATATTTTGTCAAGTAGATTAACTCAGTACTTATGAAGCATTGATGTACAACAAACTCGGACTGACAAATCGACTAAATGAGAAATGAGAAATACAGACCGAGGTTCGAATATTGTCGCAAGTTTACTACTTCCATCGTAGATTTTGAAAATTGATTCAGAGGCGATGGAAATAAAATCGCTGATTTGACTCATCTTTTTTCTTTGAGACCTCCAACGAAGGCGTAGGAAATAGTCAATCTACTTCACGCCATTTTATATGTTTATTCTCAAGGTCGGAATCTAATGGTGAAAAAACTGCTGTTTTTTTTTTGTTTGGGGTTACTCTTTGTTCAATTCCTGCCATTATTCAAACATAAGTAGAAAGTAGTAGTAGAAAGATTTATTTAGCACATTTGGCTACATAAACAACTTAGAACTAGTAAATTCAAGCCATATGATGTATGATGTAAATGCTGGGCAACCTATAATTGTAGATTTAACAAGTGATTTCTCAATTTTACTTTAAATTTTGTCAAAGTTTTCTGGTCTTTTATCTCCGAGTATAATTTATTATAGTCAATCAACCCTTGATGGAATACAGATTTGTAGCATATGTTATACTTTTTGGTCATTAAATGGAAGTTATCTTTATTTCTGGTATTATGTAAATGATGGTCGACATTTGATGATGTTAAATTAGTTAGACTTGATGGAAATATATTATTTTTTACTTTATAAATGAATATCATTACAAGATGTTTGATAAAATTTTTTACATTGAGCCATTTTAATTTGCTAAGCATTTGCCTAATTGGAGTATATTTATCTTTATTTAGTATTATTCTCATGCACTTATTTTGTAAAATTTGCAGTCTTTCAAAAATGGAATTATTTGCTAAATATAGAATAGTCGAACAGTACAAGAAATTTGGAAGAATGATGGTATTATAGATAATTTTTCTGCTATATGAACTCAGACATTCAGAAACTCTCGATAAATATCCCACTTTACTACTAATCTTATTTATAACTTTTTCATAATGAATATCAAAAATTAATCGAGAGTCAACAAAAACCCCCAGGTATTTAAAATTTTCTACGAATTCAATAACTTCACCATCAATATTCAGTTGAACATTTGTACATTGTTTTTTTTCCGATTAACAAGGCTTTCGTTTTACTTGCATTTAATTTTAGTCTGTTAGATGCTAACCATTTTGAGACAAGTTTCAAGTCTTCATTTATATAAGAGATACCAGTCTGAATATTTTTAGTACTTATATAAATCATAGTGTCATCGGCGAAAATCTGAATTTTGCATTTTTTTACTATGGCAAGCAAATCATTTATGTATAAAATAAAAAGAAGTGGTCCCAGGATACTGCCCTGTGGAACACCCAAGGTATTTTCAATTTTTGATGAAATAGTGTCATTAACTTTTGTAACTTGCATCCTTTTAGACAAATAGTTTCTAAACCAATCTAAAACACTTCCTGATATACCATATGCCTTCAATTTACCTAACAAAATATCTCTATCAATCGTTTCAAATGCCCTCTTCAAATCCAAAAATACTGCTATGACAACTTCTTCTGAGTCTATGGCTCTTCTCCAATTCTCAGTTACCAACTGGAAAGCCGTTTCTGTGGAATATTTTTTTCGAAAGCCTGCTTGCGCCTCCACTAAAATTTTCTTCTATAAACTGCATTAATTGGTCATGCACTATGGACTCTAATAATTTTTCAATGTCTGGTAACACATTTACTGGTCTCATATCGCTGCATCTTTTAGAATTTTTTATTTTGGGAACTGGTGTTATTGTAGAGCATTTCAAATTTTCAGGAAAAGAACTGCTTCTCAGTGAACAATTGATCCAATTCAATACAGGATATCCCAAAATTTCGAAACAGTTTTTCAGCACGTTTTTAGTAGTGATTTCGGCACAGTTGTTATTTGATTTTAAACTGTTTACTTTTTTTCTTAGATAATTCAATGATACGCTGTGAAATTTTGAAAGTATATGCAACATTTCCCCCTGAAAACTGATTTTCATATAGTCAGGTGCAGCATTGGCAGTACCCACAATATCAACAATACTTTCCACAAAATATTCATTTAGTTTGTTTGCAATCACCAAAGAATTTGTTTCGGTACCGTTTTCGAATTGAACTTGATTTAAACAATCATGCGGCTTCGAATTGATCAGTCTTTATAAAGTCTTCCACATCTTTACACTGTCGCACTTGTTATTATCGATTTGTTTATCGTAGAATTTCCTTTTTTCTTCTCTAATTACATATACACATTTATTCCTAAGAGTTTTATATACCCCCCAATCATCATTATATTTTGTGAATATACATTTATTGTATTGTTTGTCTCTCAAATTTTGAGCTGCCTTAATATTCTTGTTATACCAGGGTGTATTTTTTGTCGAGCAAATCACTTTTTTATCAGTTGCAAGATCTATTTCCTATTATGTTGTCATATATTTTTTCCATATTCTCACCAAAATTCCAATAGCAGCCAGCAAGTGAATAAGCGAATTTTCGTTTCTTAGGTAAATGGGGTGCGTAGATTACGAAGCTTAGCCCACATTTTTACTGAGATTCACGTGACGAGCAAAAATTCCCATTTTGTCAAAGTTCAAAGAAATGATATTGACGAAAAATCTCGACCGAAACCTGTTTTTGGCTGGATCGCAGTCGTGGATCCAGGATCGCTCACGACTGGGGGGGGGGGGACAAGGCCAAGTGTGGTTGCCTACTTTCAGGGAGTATTGTCGAGTCGTTTTCGTTTATTATAAAGTGATTAAGAAGGGAAATAATAAACAGCAGTGTAAGAACAGAATGTACATTTATTTTAAGTTTGCAAACAAAAAATAATGTGTTCCCTCCTTCTTTCCCCTTTCCTAATTTTCTCCTGTGAGTCTGAGGCCTTGGAGCGGGGGTCGCCTGCTGAACCGTGAGCGTAGATTACGAATCTGATGTCAGTGTTTCGCTGCGTTTATCAGGAAACCACAAAGTCCCTTGTTCTTAGTCCAAATAGGACTGAAATTTATGATATTCATATTCGGAATCATCGTCCCAAATTACCTCAGTTCACCATGTTTCGTAACAGCAGACGATGAGATTGAAAAATTTGTATTAGAAACCTTTATACCTTTGACGTATACCAGTGGACAATATTTTCAAAAGTCAAACCCCACTGGTAACCGCTACAAACGTAGTCTCCGATTGTAAACGCTACTGCTTGCAGTATTCAACTGCCATGACTTTTTCGCAGACGAAAAAATTATACAGAGTGCGGCAGAGAGGACGGACGTTTTTGGGATGAGTAGTACTCTCCGCCTCCGTCTTCGAGAGAGGTGGGGAGGGTGGCGTTTGACTCGTGAGATCCTAGCATTATTTTACCAGTTGTCGTTATGGAGCCTTGGTCGGTGGAGCACCGCGTTTTCGCCTATGATTGTTTCGTCCGAAATAATGAGTCAGTCATCGTCTTACAGCGTGAGTTTCGTCGCCACTTCAACATTCATCGGAATAGAGCTGTTCCCTCTCGAAACACCATCCTTCGTTGGGTTGAATCACTTCGCAGGCGTGGTGAACTGATCAACAGAAGACCAAGAGGAGCGCCGCGAACAGTTCGAACTCCTGAAAATGTTGAACGCGTTCGACAGGTCTTTCTTCGCAGTCCGACTCGATCTGCCCGGAAACATGCTGCTGCACTTCGCCTTAGTGATCGTTCGGTAAGGCGAATTTTGCATATGGATCTCCACTTTCACCCCTACAAATTGGCCATTGTGCACGTGAGATGGAAGCACTGATCGATCAAAATGAGAACCTCATTTTGTTTATGAGTGACGAAGCCCACTTTCACCTAAACAGCATAGTTAACCAGCAGAATTGTCATTATTGGGCTAATGAATATCCGCAACACTTACACGAAAGACCGCTGCACAGCCCAAAAAAGACGGTAATGGTCGTGATGTTACCGTGAACTCAGAACGCTACGTCAACATGATCACCAACTTCTTTATCCCTGAATTGTGACGGCGACGTGTTCCAATCCGACGTGTGTGGTTCCAGCAGGATGGGGCGACCGCCCACACAGCCCTCTCTTCCCTGGTCGCCTTATTTCCAGGTTTGGCGATGTTCATTGGCCTCCTCGGTCCCCAGATTTATCCATATGCGATTTCTTCTTATGGGGACACCTCAAGGCTAGAGTATAAGCGAACGAGCCCCGAACTCTGGACGAATTGAAGGGCGAAATTCGCGTGGAGGTCGCTCAAGTTGAGAGAGCGATGTTGGAGAGAGTCTACGCGAACTTCCAAGAACGCCTCCAGCACTGCATCAACGATTTCGGCCACCACGTGCCTGATGTGATTTTCCACACTTGACTCAAATGCTATTTCCTTGTGAACCTGATTCCATCAATAAATTTGTTTTCGGGTAAAAATTAACTATTTTATGATTTTTTTAAAACCGTCCATCCTCTCTGCCGCACCCTGTATTTTATAGTCTATTGCATTTAATTTTTTGGACCTGGGTAGCCCGGTGTATCATAGTGTCAAGCTACTAGTACGTCGTATATGTATAGTATAGCATCAAGCCAGACTAACCAGGATACTTCAATTGGGCTAGTTGATTATACGAAATAAATGATGAATGAATGAGTCTAATTTGGAAGGCTGATAAGTCTCGAAGTCGAGGCAAGCGATGTGATATATCTGCTGAAAGTTTGAAACCGGAATGGAACTATTACCTTAATATGAACGTCTACTGGATTATCTTTGGGTAGAAACAGTGGTACCATCATATCTGAACTCAAGTCAGAGACAGGTGGATGTACTACATGAGACTCACTCTTGAATATTCCTTCAGCAAATATCGTCACAGATCTTATTTTGGTAGAATTGTTGGTAGCTACATATACCTCCACGTGAGGCTGAAATAGAAATGATTTACAAAATTACAAACCTAGAATTGACAGTAAAACTAATAATTACAGCAGCAAACAAAAAAGTGGTCTGCGAATTTAACCAGACTAATCTACCTACTTTGATTCGCTGGATTTGAATTTGAGACCCATTTAGACGTATACTTTATCTGAAGCCACTTGAAATAGCATAAAAACCTTTGGTCGGCGCGTCCTTTGTAATTTCATGACGTATCATAGGCGTGCGGTCATTTATTTAGAACGATAATAATAATGTTTTTATAGCACAATAAATGGATTTTACTATCTTCTTATTTTTTTGATTTGGGATAAAAAATACTTATATTGGGAGTTTAATTTATGTTGACTGAAAGTCAAGAAATGGAAAAGTTACAGAATTCCAACGTTTGACATAGGCAAATATTTACATAGCAGGTAGGTATATAAAAAGGTATATAAAGACTTACATTATAGGTATTTATATATCATCCTCGCCTTCGGAGCTGTCGCTAGAGTCATCTTGTAGAGGAATTACAACGGGATTTACAGGAGGCAAAACACAATATTCATTTTCTTTTTCAATAATATGTCTAGAACACTGCTTCCATAGGTCTGTGGCAGCAATATGAGATACTGCATCTTTTATTGTGGCCAATAGCGATTCACTTAATTGAGGGGTCTGATCATGTTTTCTTACTTTTTTTTAAAGCAGCCCAGACCAACTCAATCGGATTAAAAATGCAGTAATAGGGAGGTAGACGTAATACTTCATGGCCATTTTGCTGAAGCAGATTGTCAACAACATACTCTTTTACAAATTTTTGTCTTTTAATAAGATCCAATAATATGGCTTTGGTTGATTTTTGTGGTATTTCCATTCCCTTATCCTTCATAAAATCAATAATGTCTTGTTTTTTTGTGCCTGTATTCGGAATTTTGTTTTTCTGTCGGGAATGGTATGGCGCATTGTCCATAATAATCACTGAATTTGGGGAAATGCTTGGTATTAACTGCTGCTCTATCCACTTTTCAAATAAGTCGCAGGTCATGTCCTCATGATAGTCGGCACATGATTCTTTGATATTTTTGGCAGATAACAGCAAGGCATTAGGTATAAATCCATTTTCACTGCCAGCATGGAGAATAATGATTCGTTTTCCACGGTTGCATGGTGCATTTAAAATGCACTTGTTGCTGTCGTCAACCCAGCCGTACTGCACAACATCATGGGTATCATACCACGTTTCATCCAGGTAAATCAGATTTCTTTTCTGCTCTCTATAGATTTTAACTTTGTGCAAAAATTCTTGGCGCAATTCAACGATTCGAGACGACTCCATAATCACCATTCTTTTATCTAATTTTTTGTATTGAAAACCACACAGTTTTACAATACAGTGCAGTGAGTCTAAGCATTTGTAATTATAAAAATCTTCAGGATAATCTTTTAATTTATCCCGTATCATTTCCAACGTGGGCACCAAATTTTCTTTATAAAATCCGTATATTATACGACGAATATCTTCCTGAAAACCCACGTCTATTCTTTTTAATTTTTGCCCTATGCGCTTTCTGTGGAAGGAATGGTTGACTACATCTCCCCTTTTTATAACCCGATAAATGGTAGACCGACTGATTTTTGTCAGGATACAAATTCTGTTTAAAATTTGATTTTGCGAGGAATCTGGATTTTCGTTTTTCAAACAATCATACATATTTAGGATTACTCTTTGGGTCTGTTCCTCTAAATCTTTATGAAAGAATTCTGCCTGCACAGGCTCATCAACCATCTCCTCGTGGCTTGGAGCATTTTCCCAAGGTCTCCAAAGAGCCATATTTAGGACACACAAGAACAATCAACACAACCATTAAATCAAAAAGTAAACCGAGTATTCAAAAGTCAAAAACGCACAAACTAATAAAATCTATGGAAAAACACGGACAGACTAAAGAAAACACGTTTATTCACCGCTACACGGCACTGGCTAAACTGTTTCAATTTTCAGTAGCCACCTGCACTTGTTCCGAGCTCTGAAATACACGCTTTCTCATTGGCTATGTCCACGCATAGGCGTGCTTTACTCCATGTGGACCGGTGAAACTGCCTTTGATCTTATACGGGGGATATTTGCTGCGAAATTTGGCGATTTTTGCAGCAACAGAGCGTGTTAAATATAGATATATAAAACGCACCCGGTATTTCACAGTGTTTCAAGTGACTTCAGATAAAGTATACACCCTCAAAGTTTCGAATAAATCATGGAAAACTGCATAAAATGGCTTAACTGGGCAAAAATCTAAAGGGCGATTGAAAAGGGGGAGGAGCAATTCTTCTAAGAGCGAATGCCCTGCACGGGTATTTCGTATCTTGAAAAGTGACATGATCAATGACTCTTCTCTAACAGACAGTTTCGGGACCCATTTGCATCGGCGCGCCGTCGGCAATCCGTTACACCAACGGGCTTTGCTCCTCAGAGCTCTCATCCATGATGCCGCCGCGCGATGTACCTGCCAGACAGACCCGCCCGACTTTGCCTTCCCGTCCTAACCGTGTCGATCTTTGAACATCCAGAGCTGGCCGATACGACCGCTCCTTTGTCACCAGGGTTTCGAGATTGCGGAACAATCTACAAGAGTTCTACTAACCTTAGGCAGTTCAAAAATCGGATTAATAAAATTTCTTTGGTGTAAAGAAAAGATCACCGCTGGAATCAAAAGTTTTGAAGGAATCGAATTGCAATCGTAGAAGCTGAAAACGAATCAATATCGGAACCACCAGAATCGAAATCATCGTACTCGACACCACCGAAGTAGGAATCGAAATCATTGGATTCGGAATCGAAACCATCGGAATGGATTCCTCCGGGACCACTAACATCGATTGCTTCCATTCCTACTGCGGAATTAATCCTTGGGAACGAACGTTTATTTATTAAGGGGCGCAATCAAACTAGAAGCAGTCACCTTTAAAATAAGACAATGCAAAGCGCCATCTACCACCAGAATCTACCACTGCGGTTGTTCCAACTGTTAAAGATCTCAGTTCACGTTTAATAGCCCAGTCACCACGTGACCGCTAGATGGTTGGCGATTCTGGCTGTAAAGTAAATTTTGCGTGGGACGTATTGAGTCAAAATCCACTGTACTTGATTAAATATACTAAGTGACATATAAATCCGAACACCCAATTTAAATGGTTTCATTTTAATAAAATTTTGTATAAGTACTTAATGAAGCATAATAAGTAAATGATAAAAATTTCAAAATGATTGCACTACTTTAAAGCCCTTTGACATTTAATAATGTGTGGATGCACCCTGATGTACTACGCATTCTCCAACGCGCCTAGGCATGCTTCTGATCAGGTGGTCATTGTCCTCCTGTGGTATCTCATTCCAGGCAACCACCAACTCCTCACGAAGTGCTTCTAGAGTCTGAGGAGGACGTTGCAAATTGAGCAATCTCCTACCCATCATATCCCACACGTGCTCAATTGGGGATAAGTCGGGAGATCTTGGTGGCCATGGTAACAATGTGACATCATTATGTTGAAAGAAGTCTATTGTGACTCTTGCAACATGTGGTCGGGCATTATCTTGTTGGAAAGTTGGATCTGCCAGGGTGTCAAGATAGGGTAAAAGATGGGGTTCTAGAACTTCGTGGATATAACGCTGCGCGTTCATGTTATCTCTGATGAAGATTAAAGGTGACCTGGAACCATAAGCTATAGCACCCCAAACCATAACTCCAACAGTGTGATGAACAAGTCTTTCAACAAAAAACTGTGGATTCCTCCTTTCACCACGTCGCCTTCTAACCCTGGCACGACCATCGTGCATGCCTAAACAAAATCGAGACTCGTCACTAAAGACAATACTGTTCCATTCCTGATCCCAGAGTGACCGTTGTCTGCACCACTCAAGGCGATTACGTCGGTGTTCTCGAGTTAAAGGGAGGACCCAGTGTAGCCGGTATGAAAACAAGCCAAAACTTCTCATTCGTCGGTAAACACTTCGCATGCCAATAGGTCTTCCGTGTTCTGCAAACCATTCATTTGCAATGGACCTGGTAGTGGAGAAACGGTCCCTTAAGGCCAATAATCTTAGGCGGCGATCTTCACGGTCTGTTGTTCTACGGCGGCGTCCAGAGTGCCCCTTGCTCTTTGCGTACCGCCTTCTCGAAGCCATGCCTGACAACACCTAACCACAGTGTCTACACTTTTTGCACTCTAACTGCAATTGCCCGAAAAGAAAGTCCAGCTTCCCGAAGTCCCACTATACGGCCCCTATCAAACTCACTTGTTATTTACAGTAAGATAAATACATTCACCAACTTTTATTAAAATAAAACCATTTAAACTGGGTGTTCGGATTTATATGTCACTTAGTATATTTTATTTGAAAACACTCACATTTCTCGTGTCGCTATTAGTACTTATAGCTATTTGTAGCCTGGTGTTAGCAGGTATGACGCCGCTGTTTTCGTAACTTTCAGTTTCATTCATAGCATTTTCGTTGTACTTCATGTTGTATTCATATTGCTTCAACTCCATCAACAATGACTGTTTTTGATTTAACAGTTCCATTACTATATCATTCTCAGAACGGTTTTCGTCTCCTATCAACGTTTTGGTAGTAGTGAACCCTCTAACTAAAATAAAAAATACTTTCATCATGATACGTTGTGGAAGGAAAGTAACATTTTGAGGGTGTCGCCAATATTAAATTTTCTTCTGGTGACTGCTATAATTATTTGATATTCCGCCAACATTTTTCGAGAGCTACTTGGCTGATAGAAAGCAGGTAGTTAAGGCGGTTAGGGAAGTCTTTTCTATTATTGAGGTTTCATCTGGTGTTCCGCAGGGTTCAGTCCTGGGGACTCTGCTATATTCAATTTATACTGTTGATTTGCACTCATGTGTGGAATTTTGTTCTATACTACAACTATTTAAAACTGTAATGACTCATACGCGTGATCAACACGTGATCAGAGCTCGATCCCGGCTTCCTTCCAGTACAGCCGTATAGCGTACGACATATGTCGTTTCTGTGGCGTTGCGGTGGTCAACAGCACAGACACAGATGGAAATAATGGCTGATTGTTCTCCGCCGGTAGAACCAATGAAATCAAAGACGCGCCTCGACTGGCAGACTCATAGGCGTCGGCAACGCATTGGAACGTGTTTCGTTGAGCGATCGCATATTGTGTGTTTTTATAAGAATTGTTGTGTGATTGTTATTGTTGTGGTTTCTGTGGTTACTGTTTTGGTTATACTTAATCATGGAGAGTACAAATGGCACGAGTGGAAGTACTGAAAGCCAGGGAACAAGTAGACGGCTTCGTAAAGCACTGAAGAGGGACGCGAAAGAAATCGTGCTCAACGTGTTCAATTATCTGAACAGAACTATGTCGCAGGGAGATGCACTCGCGCGTTGTGAAAGTATGACAGGCGTTCCAGAGTGGACCATTCGCAGGGTGGTGCATGAAAAGAAGAAAACTGGAGCTACTACTGATCCAAAGTTTAATTTGAAGGGACGAAAGGTCGTTAAATTGGATGACGATAGCAAAATGGCGTTAACATTCATTCTTCCTTAGGAATGAGATACCAACCCTCAAGGCTGTACATGCAGCGATCAAGGAAAATGAAATTATACCCCAAATGAGCGTCGAGGTAATGAGGAAATCCTTGCACGAAATTAATTTTCGTTACGAAACGCGTAATCGGAAGTCAGTATTGATAGAGAGACCTGAAATAGTCGCCTGGCGTCGAAAATACCTACGCGAAATGATTGAATATAGGCGACAAACCAGAAAAATCTATTATTTGGACGAGACATGGGTAAATGCAGGTCACACAGTTAAAAAAACCTGGATAGACAAAAACGTAGTGAGTAACCGACAAGCACGCATTGAAGGTTTGTCAACAGGTCTTCGTGGACCGTCAGGAAAAGGTCAAAGATTGATCGTAACTCATATTGGTAGCGATAGTGGCTTTTTAGAAGAGTGTGACTTGATTTTCGTCTCTAAGAAAGGAGGTGATTACCATGACGAAATGAATCCCAGCTGCTTCGAGAGCTGGTTTCAAGGGGTGCTTCAGCGAGTTGAGCCCAACTCTGTGATCGTCATGGATAATGCTTCCTACCATAGTTGTCGAGCCGAACGTGTACCGACTATGGGATCTCGAAAAAGTGACATGCAGCAATGGTTGCGCGAAAAAGGAATCCCGTTTGACGATTCATGTGTGAAAGCGGAATTGTATGAAAAAATTAAACAGCACAAACCTGCGAACATTAGTTACGTGACTGATGAGATGGCCCGTCAATGTGGTGTCACTGTGCTGCGGTTACCGCCCTACCACTGTGAACTGAACCCAATAGAGCTCATCTGGGCTCAAGTGAAGGATTATATTGCGCGCCATAACACAACCTTCAAATTACCAGACGTTAAGGTTTTACTTGAGACTTCCATACAGCTAGTAACGCCCGAAGCTTTGCAGAATGCTATCCATCATGTTGTGAAGGAAGAAACAAAAATGTGGCAGCTTGACCACCACATCGACACCATCATAGAGCCAGTTATAGTCAATTTCAACAAGGAAAGCGATAGCGACAATTCATTACTGTCAAATGTAAGTGGAAGCGACGATGAATAAAGGTAATTCCCAAATTTTTGACTTACAATATGTTTCAAACCACTCTTTATTAAGCATGTGACAAATCTAGTTCACCCATGTTAAACATTCATACCCCGCCTATGAACAGCCGACTACTGGTAGTTAAGTGATGTTCACGTGAACATCGATGAGTCATTACAGTTTTAGATAGTTATAGTATAGTTGTTCGCACTATGTTATATAATTCTACTGATCTAATTTATCGCAGTAAAACTATAATATAGTTCAGGAGAATTGTTAAGAAATAGCTGGTGGGGCAGTGCAAAGGTACTGTGATAACTATTCAAACTGTCCATCTGTTAAATCACTTTCTTTTTCTCCTGACTCATTTTACCTTTGCTTTGTCGGCTTGTACTTTCTATGTGAGAATTGTAAACACTTTGTCTACTGACTTTTCTTTTTTTTCCTTATCCTTCTTATTATTTATTGTTTGTGTATCGAATTTATCTTTGTTAGTTTGTTTCACACAGAGAGGTAAAGTGTAAGAGCAGCCGGTGGCTCACTGATATACAGGGTGTCCCAGAAGTCGACGTCAAGCCGAAACCGGGTGATAGGCAAAGTCATAACAGCTATCAGAAAAATATTTAAAAAAATTTTATGTATGTGTTTTGAAAATTATAGGTCTTTGAAGAAAATATAGAAATTTCACACCCTACGGCAGTCTGACAACTCATGTTACTACAAATATTAACTTTTTTTGGATTTTATTTTTACAATGCAATGATGAATAATGCATCTTCAAACTGGTGTCTCAACCTTACTGCCAACTTTTCTCGTTCAGGAAAAATTGCCACTTATTTCCCAACCAACTATTCCAAAGTAAAACTTTGCTCAACTTTAACTGGCTGTACTGGAAAAAAATGTACTACGAGAGTTTGGCAAGTAACCTTAAAAGTTGGCGCATTTAATAAGGATTCCAAATTGGTATAACACTTAGAAGATTACTCGTTAACTTATGCACAATTTTTATTTGAAGAAACACTGATGAAAATTTTTCAAAATTTCCTAATTAAACAAAGATTATGAAAACGCACAAGGACCCTTAAGGATAACTGTTTGCACAACAGTGGGCGTCAAAATGCTGCTGATGATGATTTACCTTTACAGCAAATGCTCAAACTGTTTTCCTTCAGCCGCAATACACGCTTGACATCTTCTTAAAAATGATCGGGTTATTAAACGAACGAATGTACGGTTATTAACATACTCAGCTGCTTCCAATAGTCTTTGCCGTAGCTCAGCTACATTTTGAATCGGCTTGAAATACGCTTTTTCTTTTACAGTTCCCCAGTAAAAAAATCTAACGGAATCAAATCTGGTGACCGGGCTGCCCACGGTATTGTACCAGACCGCCCTATCCATCTGCCTGGAAAGTTTTGATCGAGATACTCTCTCACTGAGAGTGCATAGTGCGCTGGGCAGCCATCATGCTGAAACCACATGTCCCTGTAAATACTCAGTGGCACGTCCTCCAATAAATTTTCTAAATGATTTTGCAAAAAACCTAAATAAACCTCAGCAGTCAAAGTCTCTGGGAACTCAAACGGACCGATTATTTTACCATTTAAAATTCCTGTCCAATGGTTTATCTTGAAGCGATATTGAGATTTATCTTCTCTCATCAAATGTGGGTTTGCTACGTGCCACTCGTGCAAGTTATGCAGGTTCATGTACCATCTTTCTTAAATGTGGTCTCATCTGACCATAAAATTTTTTCAAAGAACCGTGGATCTTCCCTGTGTCTCGGGGCTCATAATCCCGGGGCAGAAGAGCTTGAACACGCTGTACGTGGTATGGATTGAGCACGTTTTTTTGCAAGATTCTATGGGCTGTACTTTGCACGCACTGAAGTACTCGGGTCTTCTTCGACAGCTCCTAGCACCATGTCTTCGTAAGGAAGGAAAGATCTTCCCTCACCGTGTGATTGGTTTGGTAGTTGGCCGTCTGAGAACAGTAAGCGGTGCACATTTGTGAACACTCGATGATCTGGATGACGAGCTGCATTCGGGTACCTCTCACAGTAAAGTCTCGCTGCAGCACTAGCGTTGCATCTGCATTCCCCATAAATGAGGTGCATGTTAGCATATTCTTGTACGGTGTACACGGACATAGCGGCACTGCACAATCACACTATCAAAGATAGTCTAAGGAAAGCAAATGTTGTTTTGAAGAGCAATTAAACAGTCCAAATCCAAATCACAAGCGATCAACAGTCCAGTTCACGAATCCAAAATTAGTAACAGTACGAAATCAACAAGCACGAACATGTAAAGATGCGCAGTAAACGAAGGAGTACTGATCGGTATCAAAGTGTGCAATAGCAAGTAAGTGATGTGCTTCATTCATACCACATACAGCGTGTTCAACCTCTCCTGCCCCGGGATTATGAGCCCAGAGTTGCTTTTTGTCGCACAATGTTAGAAAGACACAGGAAAGATCCACAGTTCTTTGAAAAAATTTTATGGCCGGATGAGAACACATTTAAGAAAGATGGGTACATGAACCTGCATAACTTACACGAGTGGCACGTAGCACACCCACATTTGATGAGAGAAGATAAATCTCAATATCGCTTCAAGATAAACCATTGGACAGGAATTTTAAATGGTAAAATAATCGGTCCGTTTGAGTTCCCAAAGACTTTGACTGCTGAAGTTTATTTGGATTTTTTGAAAAATCATGTACAAAATTTATTGGTGGACGTGCCACTGAGTATTTACAGGGACATGTGGTTTCAGCATGATGGCTGCCCAGCGCACTATGCACTCTCAGTGAGAGAGTATCTCGATCAAAACTTTCCAGGCAGATGGATAAGGCGGTCTGGTACAATAACGTGACCAGCCCGATCACCTGATTTGAATCCTTTAGATTTTTTTACTGGGGAACTGTAAAAGAAAAAGTGTATTTCAAGCCAATTCAAAATGTAGCTGAGCTACGGCAAAGACTATTGGAAGCAGCTGAGTTTGTTAATAACCGTGGATTCGCTCGTTTAATAACCCTATCTTTTTTAAGAAGATGTCGAGCGCGTATTGCGGCTGAAGGAAAACAGTTTGAGCATTTGCTGTAAAGGTAAATCATCATCAGCAGCATTTTGATGCCCACTGTTGTACAAACAGTTATCCTTAAGGGTCCTTGTGCGTTTTCATAATCGCTGTTTAATTAGGAAATTTTGAAAAATTTTCATCAGTTTTTTTTCAAATAAAAATTGTGCATAAGTTAACGAGTAATCTTCTAAGTGTTATACCATTTTGGAATCGTTATTAAATGCGCCAACTTTTAAGGTTACTTGCCAAACTCTCGTAGTACATTTTTTTCCAATACAGCCAGTTAAAGTTGAGCAAAGTTTTACTTTGGAATACTTGGTTGGGAAATAAGTGGCAATTTTTCCTGAACGAGAAAAGTTGGCGGTAAGGTTGAGACACCAGTTTGAAGATGCATTATTTATTCATCATTACATTGTAAAAATGAAATCCAAAAAAAGTTAATATTTGTAGTAACAGGAGTTGACAGACTGCCGTAGGGTGTGAAATTTCTATATCTTTTTCAAAGACCTATAATTTTCAAAACACATACATAAAATTTTTTTAAATATTTTTCTGATAGCTGTTATGACTTTGCCTATCACCCGGTTTCAGCTTGACGTCGATTTCTATATATTATATATTAATAAAGGCATTTATTATTATTATCTCTCGGAGAAAGGTCCTAAGTTTTTTATAAGATTTGAAATTTGATACCTTCACCAGAAGCCGAAACACATATTAAATCGTTCTTGCCAACAGATCTGTAGTCTCCCTCTACAACACCAGCTATGCCAGCTCCCATATGGTCCTTGAAAAGCACCTCTCCATTTTTCACTGATCTACAGTCAATCTTTCCATTTGACCACCCTGTTATCAGTTGGGGGTTCAGTTGTCCAAGGAGGTCATAGTAGTGAATGGACGTGGCAACATGTTTTGACTGAAAAATTAATTTGAATTGACTGTTTTATAGTTGCCAAATTAAATATTTTTTAAATGAATCATATCCAGGTAAGAAGCATCACGCTAGGAAATATTAGCGTTATTTGACATAATAACCAATGTGTGTCGTTGTGTCAATTATGCTTCAACTATCAACGATTTGTGACATATTTCATCGCAAAATTTTGTCGTAGGGATAGATTTACAGAAGTGGCTGTGAAGACGTATAATAGTACTTTCTAAACAAATGTTTTACCTTGACTCTCCAAAGTCTAGCATCTTGCTCGTACACACCTACAGTCCCATTCATGACGGAGTAAGCAAATCTGTTTTCGGGTAAAGCTATAAGGTGGGTCACAACTTCGGTTTCCACATGTTCTGCAATGCGTTGATCACCTTTGAATACAGTAATGTTAAAGTTACCGGAACTCACTACAAGCTAGAGAAAAAATGATGTTATAATTCAAAGAAAAAAATAATAAACTTCATCAGTCTATGATATGTCAAGCATTTTTTATGCCATATCCTCTGGATTTGCAAGACTTCTACTTGCCAGTCTAAACTCTTCAACTCAGACATTTAATTATAAACGCGGCGGTACCTCAAGGATCAATACTAGGTCCTATCCTCATTTTAATTTATACTAAGTGACATATAAATCCGAACACCCAGTTTAAATGGTTTTATTTTAATAAAAGTTCGTGGATATATTTATCTTACTGTAAATAACAAGTGAAAAAATTTTCAGCCTTATCAGTTGGACATTCCGGTTTTTATACTGCTTTTTTTTAATTCACTAACGCTCTAAAAATGAATATTTCAGCCGCAGTAAAGAATCAACGTTGGCGGATTTTGGTTCTTGACATCCTTTACGATCGGTTACGATGCCTAGAGTACGGAGACCTGTACGATTTCGTCAACTTAGTGAGTTTGATAGGGGCCGTATAGTGGGACTTCGGGAAGCTGGACTTTCTTTTCGGGCAATTGCAGTTAGAGTGCAAAGAAGTGTAGACACTGTGGTTAGGTGTTGTCAGGCATGGCTTCGAGAAGGCCGTACGCAAAGAGCAAGGGGCACTGGACGCCGCCGTAGAACAACAGACCGTGAAGATCGCCGCCTAAGATTATTGGCCCTAAGGGACCGTTTCTCCACTACCAAGTCCATTGCAAATGAATGGTTTGCAGAACACGGAAGACCTATTGGCATGCGAAGTGTTTACCGGCGAACGAGAAGTTTCGGCTTGTTTTCATACCGGCCACACTGGGTCCTCCCTTTAACTCGAGAACACCGACGTAATCGCCTTGAGTGGTGCAGACAACGGTCACTCTGGGATCAGGAATGGAACAGTATTGTCTTTGTTTAGGCATGCACGATGGTCGTGCCAGGGTTAGAAGGCGACGTGGTGAAAGGAGGAATCCACAGTTTTTTGTTGAAAGACATGTTCATCACACTGTTGGAGTTATGGTTTGAGGTGCTATAGCTTATGGTTCCAGGTCACCTTTAATCTTCATCAGAGGTAACATGAACGCGCAGCGTTATATCCACGAAGTTCTAGAACCCCATCTTTTACCCTATCTTGACACCCTGGCAGATCCAACTTTCCAACAAGATAATGCCCGACCACATGTTGCAAGAGTCACAATAGACTTCTTTCAACATAATGATGTCACATTGTTACCATGGCCACCAAGATCTCCCGACGTATCCCCAATTGAGCACGTGTCGGATATGATGGGTAGGAGATTGCTCAATTTGCAACGTCCTCCTCAGACTCTAGAAGCACTTCGAGAGGAGTTGGTGGTTGCCTGGAATGAGATACCACAGGAGGACATTGACCACCTGATAAGAAGCATGCCTAGGCGCCTTGGAGAATGCGTAGCACATCAGGGTGCATCCACACATTATTAAAGGTCAACGGGCTTTGAAGAAATGCAATTATTTTGAAATTTTTATCATTTACTTATTATGCTTCATTAAGTACTTATACAAAATTTTATTAAAATAAAACCATTTAAACTGGGTGTTCGGATTTATATGTCACTTAGTATATGTAAGCCATGTGAGAGTTTTTACTTATGATCCACAAAGTATCTTTGTTATGCTTTAGTTTTAAATTAGCCTGTCATTAAGAATGATTCAGAAAATAAAGATATGTGTCTATCTATAAAGCAAAATAACAGTATTTTAGGGTGTTAGAATTTCTTACTTCATTGGTGCCATCCTTATCGTAGTCCATAAAAAGCACCGATGTTACAATATCCCCAACGGGTGTCCAAAAGATTTCGTTGCCCATATGGTCGAAACCATGGATCGTTGAGGTGCCTCCTACCATGACTACTGGGGATTTGCTGTCTTTGAAAGTGCCTACCGCGATTGATTGGACTCCATCTGGACATTCCCTGTAGAACACGTCTTTGTTGTCGTGCACGTGGTAAGCCAAAATATGACTACTAGTTCCTGAAAGCAAGTAGTCTCAAGCTACAGAATGGGTCACCCAGAAGCTACACTCAGTCAAAAATTAAAGAAGTTCGTGGTGCTATTGATAGCTTGAAAAACTCCGAAGGTAAAGATCCTTTCGAAATGAATGTTATTATAATAAACACTTTGACAAACTTAATAGTATATTCTTCAATTAATAAATATGTTCAATTGTTCAGGCACTTTAACAGAATTGGTAATTAATTATTATTATGTTTCTATGACATGACTAAAGCTTAATTAAAAAGAACTGTCCATCTATGGCTCTTGGCAGAATAGTAAGTTCCTAGTTTATTTATTTATTTATTTATATACAATTTGGGGTGTTAACAGGTAAACCCAACACACACCCTCTGTGAACTAAAACTAAACTTACATAAAATATCGTATACATATACATATATTACATTATTGAATACGTCAATATTAATATTTTTTTACCTTCCGATATTGTTGTAACATCATAAACTGAGTGAGTAGTTCTAATTATAAGCAATAAACTATTAATTTAACTTTTTTAATAAAAGGAGTATACATAATTTAACATTTACTTACGTTTAATTAAAACTGAAATAAAAATTAAATTGAAATTATACCAGAAATGATATTGGAGGTGATAACTTGAGTTATGTAAAAAAATAAAATATTTCTATTTTAGTCTGCCATAGAGCTGTAATACTCATACTTTAAAGCCTTTTTCAGGAAGGTCAAGCTAATGTTAAATAAATCTATATTACAGAAATTATTATGATTTTTTTGAGCCCTTACCAAAGGGGAATTAAGACCAAGATTAGTTCTACGGAACGGTATTCTAAACAGATGATAGGTTCTAAACGTTGTATCAGGAGTGTTAAAGTTCAAGTTTGCCAAAAGATCCGGACAGTCAGTGAGGCCATTCAACAATTTATGAACACAGCAAATGTCAGAAATCGTTCTTCTATCTTTTAAGGAAATCATATTGAACTGTTTCATAATTTGCGTATAATGATGATCTGTAACAGGTTGGTGAGTTTTATGTGCTAACATCTTCAAAAATTTGTGTTGAATTCTTTCTATCCTGGCTATATGTACATTGTAAGACGGATTCCATATTACTGATGCAAACATCAATTTGTTGTGTATATAAGCGTAGTACAATGAAAGAAGCGTTTTTGGGTTCGTAAATTCTCTGCATGTCCTGTTTATGAACCCTAGTGTTCTATTTGCATCATTTACGATCTGCTTTACGTGAGTGATGAATGAGAGTTTCTCATCAATGTATACCCCTAGGTCTTTTACTACATTAAGCTTTTCCAGTTCTGCCGTCCCTATCTTATATATCTGAAATCTATAGTGTTCGCTATGTTCGCTAGTAAGCCTCATGTAATGACATTTTGTTAAATCCAGGAAGATACTGTTTTCAGTGCAATACTTTTGCAGAGGTTCCAAATCGCTTTGAAGTTTTACACAGTCATTTACATTTCTAACAATAGTAAATATCTTTAGATCATCAGCATATAACAAATATTTACTGAAATGAAAAATAGAAGTTAGGTTGTTCATGTATATGTTAAATAACAATGGTCCTAAGTGACTACCTTGTGGTACGCCTGAAGTTACTAAGAATGTCTCCGAACGATACCCATTGATAGTCACCACTTGTTTATGATTACTTATATACGATGCTAGCCACTGCCATAATGGACCATCTACGCCCACCTCAGCAAGTCTCTCCATCAAGATAGAATGATCAATCTTGTCGAATGCCTTACTGAAGTCGGTATAAATAACATCCACCTGCAGTTTCTCATCTATTGCGTGAGAGGCATATTCTATAAAATTCATCAAATTCGTCTCTACAGATCTTTTAGGGAAAAATCCATGCTGGTGTTCCGTAATGATATTTTTTGTAATGTTTAAGATAGCATCATAAGTCAGCTTTTCAAAAATGTTTGAGAAAATACAAAGTTTAGTGATAGGTCGATAATTTTCCACAAGATGTCTATCGCCTCCTTTATGAATAGGCAATATTTCACCTTCTTTCCATCTCGTTGGAAAGACTCTTTGAGTTAATGATAGTTTGAAAATTAGGTGAAGTGGTAAACATAAGCTAGCGGAACAGTTTTTTATAAATACAGGAGGTATGCCGTCAGGGCCTACTGATTTTCTAATTTCTAAGGACACTATTTGTTGATATATTTGTTCAATGGATATTAAGGTAACATCAATAGGACTAGTATCCTTGTTTAAATAAAAATGTTAAGATTTAACATATACACTTGCAAAGAAATCAGCAAAGGCATTACACACCCCACTTCCGGTTTTAACTTCATAGTTTGAATGATTTATAGAACTAGGTATAGAGACATGACATTTTTTCTTACTTGAAACGTATTTCCAAAAGTGTCGGCTGTCGTTCAATATATTGTTTTCCATCATTGTTATGTATTCATCCAGGTTTTCCTTAATTAAGATTTTTGATTTGGCTTTAAGGTCACAGAATATCTGATATGAGTATGGATCATTAAAACGTTTGTATAGTCTATGATACTTATTTTCTCTCTTAACTGTTTGTATTGTTTCAAGTTTAAAGTATATTGGGTATTTTCCTCGAATTTTATATGTTGGTGTAAATTTGTGAATAGTTTCATTGAGTATGTTATAGAATATGGCTACAGCTTCATCTACAGATTTGGTACTAAATAATTTTTCCCATTCTATGTCTAAAAGAGTATTATTTATGGAAGTATAGTCAGCTTTATTAAAGTTGTAAAGGCATCGGCTCTGGTGCATTAATGGTTTAAGTAAAACATGCTTAAAACAAAATGTAATTGCAGGATGGTGATTATCCTCAGGAACCAATATGTCAACCGAATTCGAAATATTATATATTGAACATTCGTTACTAAGTATCAAGACCAATAAACGGTTATTTGAATTGTAAATTTTATTAAATTGCATTAACTGTAGATACGACAATATGTCAAGTAAGACACTGGTTTTCTCTTCAACATTAAGTGGCTCCATAAAATGTTCATTAAGTACTGGTTGCCAATTGACACTTGGAAGATTAAAGTCACCAACCAACAACACCGTATTTTGTCGAAAAAAACCTTCATTCTGGTATAATTTGCTTACGACTGAGGCATATGAAATGCTATCCTTAGGTGGTAAATACATACAGCTTATAAATAATTTGGTACCGTTGATATGTTCGATTGATACCCAAAGTTGGCAAATAGGCGGCAATACGTTAGCTGCCAGAACTGTATACCCAAGACAGAAGTTATAAAGCATGGAATTCTACAAGGAACAGTTTTAGGGCCTATTGTCTTTTTGATATATATTAATGATCTACCGAACAGCATCGACAATAAATGCATGCTTTTTGCTGGGGACACCACAATCATCTCTTGCAACTAGAACCTCCAGCATTTGACAATAGATTCTGAGCAACACCATTAAATCTCAGTCGCTTGTGGTCAGTACTCGACCACACAGTAAGCAAATGGACACAACCTAAGTTCACTTGGATTCAAAATTGACTTGGGAAGCACACGATTATCCTTTGTTTAGCACATAGAGCATCAATATAACCCGAGCTGTCGACGCGCTTGCTTCAGCCAGTAGCATTGACAGACCCGGGGCCGGACTATGTTTTCAGAGCTGTTAGCTGCGATGACATGTGCATTGTTCAGCAATAACATGTTCTGTATGGGGATGACTGTTTTGGAGTCAAAGCAGCGATCTTTAAAACAACTTTGCACCAGAGTCGGCGGTGTCTAGCGGCCACAGTGGTGACCCGGCTGACAATGTGAACTGGGATACAGTTCCAACAGACAGCTTGATGTTTTCACTTTCACAATCGGCGATTCTGGTAACAGATGGCACTTTAAAATATTCTTGTGAATCTTTAATCTTGGACGATTTGAAGGTTTTTTTGGGTAAATCGGGCAGATTATGGATCTCAAGTCAGTATTTCGCTGCGATCAATGGGAATAGAGAATCGAGAAACATCATATTTCGATTACCATATTCAAAATTGCCCAAAGCTTATTTCGTTTCTACCAACAAAAGTAACGAAAACGGAAATTTTAAAGTTTAAAGATACCGTTGATGACACTTTTGAAAAATTCTTACGTCAAATTATATATGTTGAAATGCATACTTACCCACAATTAAAATATCTTTCTCATCGTCTGGAACGATCATTCCAACCGTGAGACATCCCACTTTTTGGTTGATGTTAAGTAGAGATATTTCTTTATTTGACTCTAAACTGAGAATCCTACCTACTGTTGAAGGGTTCCTCTTATGAGGACTATGAATCAAAACCTAGAATAATTAAATTGCTTTTTTTGATATTTTTGTTTCACCGGTCATAGTTTCATCGTTGTGGACAAGTATCACGAAGTCGTGTTATATATATATATAATGATATATATAATGATATATATTCATGGATTTTTGTTAATTTGATAATTACAACAAAGAGAATCCGTATCCAAAATTTCCAAAACTTAACTTACCTTATCAGTGACAGTACCAGCTGTAACGCATGGATGTGTACCGTCGTACTTTCCTATAGTTACAAGTCCTGGAACGATCTTATAATCCAATTCTAAGTTGAATACAGGTCGAATTATTTTTTCTAACCTATCCATGTTGAGACAATGTAGTTAATGACTCCCCTGTTTATATTAGAACGACCCATAGCAACCACTAGTTGTTATGTATCGGGAAAGTCAATATTGATTGTGCTATATGTTTACCCTTCGCTACTATTATATGTCAACAATATCAGATTATGATTACAGAATATATTCGTAACCTTTTTCACAAAAGGTGTATTTTATTTCAAGATTCTTAATTGTTTCAAAAATAATATTTTGTATTATAGTACGGTCACAGTGACCCTTGAGTAGTGACCATGTAATTTTTTTTAAAATGGCGACTGGTAGGTTGACTGTGCACTTAAATCCCAAGCAATGTTGTCGTCAGCAGTTTTCAACCCATCCAAAGTTTTTTTTTGAAAATGATCAGAAGCCTCAAGCAACTAATGTACGTCATATAACATCCAAAAAACATAATATCTCATTTTTGAAATTTTTCGCTCTTATAATTCCCACTTTGCCAATGCCGGAGGAATTAAAAAAAATTGCAATGGTTTTCACAAAAAATTCGGATTTAAGTGAAATATGTCGAATTGTCAACGTAAGAGAATAATGGTTATTTTTCTGACATCTGACGGAACCTTAACTTGCATTGCAAACGTTTCAGCTTTAAGGAGCAATATTTGCTACTTGTTATCCTTAGAAAATATGACACGCATAGTCTCTTAGGCTTTTTGGAGACAAAAATCTGGTAGATATTTCTTAAAAATACCATTTTTGGAATATACTCGATTATAATGCAGCCTGTTACAGGTTTGTTGGTTCGCGTAATTGGTTTTAAAAGCACGACACTTTACATGACTTCATTACCTCACTCTTTCATTTTGTACATGTAGTAGTTAACAGTTAGTTATCATAATCAAACAACGAGAATTTTTGTAAAAACTGTATTGGATCCAAAAAAGGGAAAACAACAACAAAACTACAGTAAAAATCAGACTACAACTTGAGAGTTCCCTCTCTAAGCTTATCACAAATTTGAGCAACAGGAACGTATTTCCCACTCTTCATATCCAAAAAGTACACTTCGTCTCCCGTTACTTCTGAGAATCCCTCCTTACGCAGCTCGTTCTTTTTGACCTTGAAGGTGCCCGTCATGGGCACTGACCTCGTTATCCTCAAGAAGAGAGGAATAGCGTAACTAGGTAGATGGGTCTTCAGCTGTTCGACTAGGGCTTCTTTGTCTAGCTTGTCGTCTGCGTCTACTATCGCAAGCATCCCTGCTTTGCCTTCGTGTTTTGGAACCTGCAAAATCATTCGCTCAGTTTTCGAAAAATCGAGAATCCGGACTTTGAAATTTGCATATTTAGCATTTTTATTTTGTCTACAATTTTTGGGATTTTTACGCGAAAATTTACTACCCCGCTCTTGAAAAGTTTTCAAGGACAGTCCACTTTCACAAAAAGTTATATGCTGCAGATGATGGCATGCCCCTTGACAAAAATTGGCGAGCATGTATAACAAAAAACTTGAACGGATAAAGTCAGTCAAACGTGGCCATATATAATTAATCCGTAGTCCCTATGCATTTGGCAACGATGCGATCTAAAAATGTTTCCCAGCGATACCGACAGTACCAACTATAGTTGTAGTCACCGTTCTTGGCGGTTACGTCATCAACGACATATGAAATAAGTAAACAGATCTGAATAGTTTGTTTTCCATCTCCAACCGTGTTGAACGTTGTTTCATGCGTTTAGACAATCGTCAGTACGATATTTGGAAACAGTGGACAGTAAACAAGAGAAATGGATCTACTGAGAAACTCGATACTGTGATGTACGAAAAAGAAGCCAAAGTATAAAAAGTAAGGAACAACGTTGTATATAGTTGGTTATGGATGCAGACATGGAAAGCGAACATATCTTGCTCAGCCTGTATTTAATTTATGCAACTTTTGCGTAGAACGTCGATGTTGATAGCACAGTGGGTGCTTAGTAGTGATGGAACGAATATTCACATCCACATTCTCCGAAATTCATGTGAATATGAAAAAGGGAAAATAAAAATAACATTACCTACTCGAATAAAACAATAAATATCATTTTTTTTCAGAAAAGCATGTAATAGACAAACAAAATATTGGTTCTTCACATAAATTTTGCTCGTTGGAGACAAAAAAAAAACAGCTGAGCTAACCTTGATCAGAACACACAAAAAATGTTTTTTTTCTAATTCATCATGGAGCTGACATGAATCGCCGCGAAAATATAATTGTGAGCTAAGTTAAGAATCTCACAGTCTTGACCGATTTTTCACGTAAACAAAATAAACTTAACACCTGTACAACGTTGCAAGTGAGAACAAATCTCTCTCAGGCTCAATTTTATTAAAAAATACGATCAAACCGACGTGAGATTGTGTGTGATACGAATGCAGCCGTAATTATGGAATAACAAACAAAAATACATTCTGTTGCGCTTCTATCAGTCTTTGATTAGAAATGCTTTGTAAATAAAAATACATATAGAAACGACTTAAGCTTGTTCTGAAAAATGTTGTGAAAAAGGAATTATTTTCCACAAACTAAACTTATTTGCTTTTGCAATTGAATAATCAAGCTGAACTAGAGGAACATCAAACATCAACAGTAAAATCTGCGCAGTATTCTCTCCTCCAAGTATGTTTTGATTTGATGTTGGTATTCGTCAATATCAGCAGTAGATATTCGCATTTCGAATGGTTAAAAATTGACATTCTTTGCACCCCTAGTACTTAAACGCATGCAGCAGCCACCCCCCCCTCCTCCCCGCTCTTTTCTGAACACAAATGATACGTCCACTGCGATGCCCCTTTCCCATGATAGAATCCTAGATAGTTCACATATTTTGGGACATCCTTGAGCATTTTCACTGTGTGATTATTTCTGAAACGTAATTCTAAAGACAGTGCTTACCTCAACACCATAGGCTACGCAGTCTTTTAGTCCTACAATTTCACTAACTACTCTCTCCACCTCGGTTGTCGAGACATTTTCACCTTTCCATCTAAAACAAATGTCACGATTTCACTATATTGCAGTTTGCAGAATAATATACCATATAAACAAGAAAATAATATCTACATCAAAACTTCCTTAATCGTATTCAACGTGTACAGAACTCATGTATTCGATTCATCACACAAATTGAAGAAATTAAATCGACAAAGCATGGAGAAGAGATTGAGCTTATTTGCTCTCTGTTTCACAAAAAATGTACTATAGAAACCCCCCTATCTCTACCATTTCACGCAAATGTTGACACGAGACATAAACACCTAATCAATACACCATCCCACAGAAAAGAAGCTTAAAATTTTCTATTGCTAGATATTATAATTATTTTCCTTATTATCTCAAATCATTCATGTTTAATTTGGGCGAAACTATGTGTGTTTTTTGGTTAGCTTTTTTACTTGTGATCTACCACTAGCAAGGGCTGAGTGAAAGAACACTTCTATTATTATTATTAAAAAAATCTCACCTATACGTATCTCCAGTCCTATCAACGAAATAAAAGTAACCGAGTTCGTCCTTCATCAGTACATCTCCCGTATTGAAAAACGAATCTCCATGCGAGAAAACGTTCTGCAGAATTTTTCTGTTAGTTTCTTTTTGATCGACATAACCGGCAAATTGGTTTATGCTCTTCTTGGCATCTATTTTGCCTACCAGCAAGCCGGGTTCTCCAAGTCCACACCTGATGCAGAAACCCTCTCTGGAATATACAAAAATCAGTATGACAAAACTGAAGACGTAGATGCAGCAAAATAGAAAAATGTTATATGGTGTGTCCAAACTTCTATAGATCCAAAGAGCTACGAAGTCTGTGAATTAAATGATGAGACTCGCAACGTAGCGTTCGATCCGGCAATACTGGAGGCGCCGGGCTTGGAGACATGTGATCCGCCTTCAGTACAAGTTTGAACTCGCTTGAGTAGATTGTGTTTCCTATTGTGTTCTAAAAATGAATGTCAATTTCAATCTGTGTGGCTGCGATGGCAGTTATTTTTAGGGTAACAATATAAAATTGTAACTATATTTAAATAAAAAAAAATACCATCACCTTGTATATTGTAAGCTCACATATAACAACTATAGGTATGTCAAAGGATAATGAATGAAAGAACACCTACTTGTTCCTTAACGGCTGTTTAGTTTCATCGTCGCATTTGATTAGAGCTACTGGATAGACGGAACTGGGAGCTAACGGAGGCACGAAACCTACAGCACCAATAGTGTTATCGATGTTTACTGAAAACAAAACAAAAATGACCTCAAGTAGGTTGACTTCCTATTCAACGCTGTCATCAGTTCATAAAGGATTGTGTTCGGCCCAAGATAGTCCGTTTGAGCTAGAATGTATAACAAATGAATTAAATGGTCCCCGACCATTTGATAACGGCTATCGCTAGTTTCTTTCCTGCCCTAGGTATCGACCATCTGGCAACGCTGTTGAACCACACCAGTCAAACATGTCATAAGTCATGAGCGCTGCCCATGATACTATATCTCGAAATCGAAGCCTCGACCTGTTGTAAGGGCAACTGTACATCGAAGCCTTTGATGTGTGAAAAATGTACTGGTGTGTAAAATTACTGTGGTTGAAACTGTATAAATATACTCCCGCTAAAAAAAGTGAGACATACCCTATCTCACTCCCTACAGCCCCTAACCCCCATATATCAACCCCTACAAAAATATTTCTGAAAATGATCATGATCATCTAAAACGTTGAAAAACGAACTTAGAGAGATTTTTATTTTTTTCGTTTTTGGCCTTTCTCTTCTCCGCCACTAGCAGACCGATTTTCAAAAACTCTTTCATCCATGGCATAGTAGGTACCTTGTGTGAAAATTTCATCAAAATCCAAGAGGTACTTCTCAAGTTACGGGTGGTTATAAAAATAGCGGACAGACCGACCGATGGAAATGAGTGACATGATTTTTCGGAAATTTTTCGCGGTTACAATACTTCCTCGGAGTAGGAAGTAAAAATAGGTAAGATCAATGAAATCCTCAGCTCAGTAGAAGAAATGCAGCCACAGAAACATAGACTGACATATTCTACTCAATTAATGATAAGAAGCCAGAAATATACTAAGTGACATATAAATCCGAACACCCAGTTTAAATGGTTTTATTTTAATAAAAGTTGGTGAATGTATTTATCTTACTGTAAATAACAAGTGAAAAAATTTTCATCAAGTTTTTCAATACGGAGACCTGTACGATTTCGTCAACTTAGTGAGTTTGATAGGGGCCGTATAGTGGGACTTCGGGAAGCTGGACTTTCTTTTCGGGCAATTGCAGTTAGAGTGCAAAGAAGTGTAGACACTGTGGTTAGGTGTTGTCAGGCATGGCTTCGAGAAGGCCGCCGTAGAACAACAGACCGTGAAGATCGCCGCCTAAGATTATTGGCCTTAAGGGACCGTTTCTCCACTACCAGGTCCATTGCAAATGAATGGTTTGCAGAACACGGAAGACCTATTGGCATGCGAAGTGTTTACCGACGACTGAGAAGTTTTGGCTTGTTTTCATACCGGCCACACTGGGTCCTCCCTTTAACTCGAGAACACTGACGTAATCGCCTTGAGTGGTGCAGACAACGGCCACTCTGGGATCAGGAATGGAACAGTATTGTCTTTAGTGACGAGTCTCGATTTTGTTTAGGCATGCACGATGGTCGTGCCAGGGTTAGAAGGCGACGTGGTGAAAGGAGGAATCCACAGATTTTTGTTGAAAGACATGTTCATCACACTGTTGGAGTTATGGTTTGGGGTGCTATAGCTTATGGTTCCAGGTCACCTTTAATCTTCATCAGAGGTAACATGAACGCGCAGCGTTATATCCACGAAGTTCTAGAACCCCATCTTTTACCCTATCTTGACACCCTGGCAGATCCAACTTTCCAACAAGATAATGCCCGACCACATGTTGCAAGAGTCATAATAGACTTCTTTCAACATAATGATGTCACATTGTTACCATGGCCACCAAGATCTCCCGACTTATCCCCAATTGAGCATGTGTGGGATATGATGGGTAGGAGATTGCTCAATTTGTAACGTCCTCCTCAGACTCTAGAAGCACTTTGAGAGGAGTTGGTGGTTGCCTGGAATGAGATACCACAGGATGACATTGACCACCTGATCAGAAGCACGCCTAGGCGCGTTGGAGAATGCGTAGCACATCAGGGTGCATCCACACATTATTAAAGGTCAAAGGGCTTTAAAGCAGTGCAATCATTTTGAAATTTTTATCATTTACTTATTATGCTTCATTAAGTACTTATACAAAATTTTATTAAAATAAAACCATTTAAACTCGGAGTTCGGATTTATATGTCACTTAGTATATTTTAAACACCTTTTCTCCAGCTTTGACGTAGCTAACTTCAAATCCTCGAAGTACTTACTCAAATTGGCGTTTCCTTCTGTCGATCCATAAAATTCGAATATCTGCTTCACATTGAACGTCCTCTGGAATTCCTCCCAAATTTCAGCCCTCAATCCGTTGCCAACCATCTTTGTTACTTTGTGTTTAGGAACAGGCTCGTCTTTATTGTGAGCAGCCAAGATGTAACGGCAGGTTTCACCAATATAGTTAGTTGCCTGTCGAGAAGGTACACATTTAAATAAAATAAAAAAAATATATTGAAGGCGCCTATTTAGGTAACAAGCATTCGTTTTGTGTTCTGCTACTGTCTCATGGCACTAGGATCTTTCAAATCCCTGTGTGCGAGAGAGAGAGAGAAAAGAGTACAACACAACACGTAGAAAGAGTGTGCCTCATAAGAATGCGACAGTGAGGAAGGAAGCGGAGCGCGGCTGTAATTTGCGGCGTTGCCAAACGTTACGACCCAATATTCTACAGCTTCAGAGTATCACGAACACAGTGCATGGCTTTGGTTCCATCTATTCTGTCTTGTGACTGAATGGGATTAATCGAAACATTTTTCAAAATCGTTGTTAAAAGTTTATTTTATTTTGGGACCCTTAATCCTATCTCGAAACTCATATTTGGGAGACAGAATCGCTCTTACCGTACATTTGTACTTGTAACAGTCTTTCCAGAAGTTTGATGCCGAGAATTTCCTTCTTATAAGAACCGTCAGTCCAAACAGAAAACATTGTCCTACGCCCACTATACCGCCGGCGCTGTGATAAAGTGGCAGAGGATTGTAGAAGACATCGGAATCGTTCAAATTTGACATACAGTAGAGAGATAGGGAACCATACATAAATCTACAAAAAAAAAAATAGAAATAATTATAATCTGTAAACAATTGTATGTTTACTAAACATCAACTTGAGAGAAACGCTAAGCAACAACAGTGGCGTGGGTAGGATTGTAGCTGGTGCTGTAGACCAGTGGTTGGGATGGAGGGGATGCGGGTTCGAATCCCACCGGCGTCCATTTTCTCTTTCTCTCAAGTTGTTGTTTACTAAACAAATGATAATATTTATAAGTTCAACGAAGACGTTTTTGTATAAAATCCACTGCTTGAAACCGAAAGAAAAACCTGGTACCGGAACGATATGAGCGCACAACTCGTGTCTGCCAATTCCACCAAAAATTTAACAGATACAATTTCTATGATTTGATTTCAGAACAGATTCTTTGAATTGCCGATTTTAAATGCTAGATTAGTTTGTCTCTCTTTGAATGTCACTTGAAGGTCATATCAAGGACACTCTCAGAATAAGTTGGGCACATGCTATGTATGTTTTTTGGTCGCTGAGTCCGAATCGGATGTCAATTAGTCACTATGAGAAGATTTGAAGGTCATCTCAAGGACACCTTCAAAATAAGTATTGGTTGTGAATGGTATTGTAGAGTTTTTCTGGGTTCTTTTGATTGATTCAAACGCTGGATTCCACAAAAAGAAATGCACTAATTTATTTAACTTGATAGAACATACACCATTATTTATGTCTGACTAATTGTTATGTCGCCATTGACTGCACTATACTCCACTCCGCTCTGCTACTCTACCGTACTCAGTACTCGGCTTCCGAGTTATATACAGGGTGACTTCGAAGTTGAGTCATTTATTTATATATATATATATATATATATATATATATATATATATATAACAGTGAGTAGATCTGATCAAAAGAAATGTTATTTTCCTTTACCATTTTTCTGGTAAAATTAAAGTAACAAAGTTATAGCCCTTTGGAAGTTTGAGTACCGCCCTGTCTCAATAATAATATCATGTGCTCGTGTTTGTCTAACGCGTGTGAATAGTGTCTGTTGCGTGGCTCAAACGAAATAAAAAATGGCACATGTTTATGCGGATCGGTTTCCCAATCGAGTGCAACCAACCCCTCGTGCCTTTGTTAATGTAGTACAACGGGCTCGTGAATCAGGTGACTTAAGACCTCACATGGGACCTCACGATCAAATACAGGTCCGCACTGAAATACTTGTCGGGAGGATACTTTATAAAACAAGGTAAATTTTTTTTTTTATTTTTACACACATATTTTGGTTTATCTTCCTTCTACAATCATTATCTGAAAATTAATGACTCAACTTCAAAGTCACCCTGTATATATAGTCCCCATTGCTGCTTCGAGAAAGGTCTAGTGAACCACAAAGCGACATCTAGAATATTGCAGGTCACTTCGCGTCGATCTAGAAGGTGAGTCACTGCCACGGTCCTCACAGACGCCGCCAATCGGCTTGTGCGGTCGTGGTTCGCGTAAAAGCAGAGATCGGCCATGAAGCTCTGGCGAGTAGGAGAGAGGCAACAGATGGTGCCAACAGTATTTGTCACAATATTGACAGACTTCTAGTTCATCAGAAAAAAGGTGGTACCGCCTTTATTATGAGCCATACATTTTTCAACACACAACACAATGAATAATACAGACCCTCTCGAGCTTTGTCGTAAAAAAGTAGCGTCGAATGATACTCCACAATTTCAAGTTTGATAGACTGACATGGACCAGGTAGCCCTTATATTTTGAATTTCACTCGTTTTCGATTTGTATCACTTTCACGCGGTATTTTTGATTTTTTTTATATAAGATTTTTATGTTACCTGCAGTGTGGTATAATAGCTGCCTTAGGCATACCAGTGGTTCCGGAAGTAAATATATAAATCAGTTTATCTTTGGCATTTGATTCGTCCATTCTTTCGATTGGACAAGATTTTGGTTGATTCTGCAGTTCTTTCTTCAAATCTATATCCGAGTCTTTGGCTTTCACGTCATCCTTAGTAATAAATTCGTACAGTTTCATGCCTTGGAGTTTGTCCCTGATACCATCTATAGCTATAATAATAAAAAGTATTAGATTGATGAGGGCAGAATCATGGTACCCTTAAGTATCGCGTAGAATCTTGCATCGATAATGTTCGTACTTTTCCTTACTTTCTAGGGGAGTGAAAAATTAAAATCCCAAGTGGAAGATCTAGCTTACTTGAAGGAGCCATAGCAGAGTTACTAATTGAATTTTGGTAACATAACAGTTTGTCTCATCGCCTACGTATCTTAATTTAAGGTCAAATTTAAATTGTTTATTTTCCTTTTTGCCAAAAGTACAAATACAAACGTAATGTCCGCTTATAAAAAACCCGTTTATTGTGAACTAATTTATAAGGTAACGACTGAAATGATATATATATATATATATAAGCTATTTTTCTCGCATATAACGAACCCGTTTATAACGAACCTCCTGGTAAAACGAACCTAAACGTTTGATATACAGCAGACGCTCGATAATGTAAACTAATTTAATCCAAGTGTGGTTCACATTATCGAAATGTTTACATTAGCGAACGTGATTTATATAATATTTGATTTATTAAAAGAAACGTTTAATACATTCTATTTATAACAAAATAAACAAATATTCTAACAGCGATAAGTATTTTTTTAATTAGAAGAAAATTAATTAACAATTTTTGTCTGCGTAAATTTGCGCTTAGCATTGTCTTCCAATGCCTGCGCCCGTAATTTACGAAGAACTAAAATATCCGTGTATGAAACTTCTTTTCTTTCAGCCCAATCTAAAGCTTGGTTAAAAACTTGTATAGCTTGCGCGTCAGTCACTACACTTCTGACTTCAATGGGATCGTTCTCATCATCCCCACTGTCCATATCCTCCTCCTTATCAGCATCATTCACTGTTTTCAATAAATCAACAACATCCAATGACACACTAATAACATTATCATTATTGGATCGCAAACGTTCTCTAATTACGCTTAAGGGGACATCATCTTCTTCATCATCTTCATTATTGGTACAAAAGAGATTGTTCCAACATTTTTGAATAGTTTGCTGGTTAAGTTCATTCCAGGCCATATGTAAATCTAAAACAGCTTCTCGTAATGTTACTTTTTTTAAAGCCTCAGATAAGTTTTCAGGATTATTTGATAAGACAGACGAAAGTAGAAACTTCCTGTAGTATAGTTTGGAGAGTCTTATTATATTCTGGTCCATCGGTGTTACGTTGGGCGGCATGTACATGACGAAAATTGACCCATCCCTGCTCCTCAGTTGTTGCTCGGGAGGATGACTTGGTGCATTATCCAATAGTAACAACGCTTTTATTGGAAGCTTCTGTTGTTTTAGGAAACCTTTTACCTACAAATTGAAAACACATCTTCAAATTATGAATAGAGCATTTGTGATAATTGATTGTCATACCTGAGGGACAAAGCACCTGTGGAACCATTTCAGGAATATACTGCTAGTCATCCAAGCGGTTTTTGAACAGTCATAATCAACAGGGATATTAACATTTTTAAATGAGCGCGGATTTTTTGCTTTCCCAATTACCAGTGGCTTTATTTTGTGTGAACCATTAGCATTAGTGCAGGCTAGAAACGTTATTCGTTGTTTCTCCGGCTTTCTTCCCGGGGCAGATTTTTCAAATGATGCAGCATAGGTTTTCTCTGGTAACATTTTCCAATAAAGGCCACTTTCGTCTGCGTTGTAAATTTGTTCCATTCTTAAATCTAGCTCGGAAATTGTTTTCATCAATTTTTCTTTGAATGGTTGCACTAATTGTGGTTGTGCTGATAATTTTTCACCAGATATAGACAGCAGTCGAATTCCATGTCTTGTTTTGAATCGTCGTAGCCAGCCATCACTAGCTACGAAATTTTCAGTTTCTTTCAGTTTTTCATTTAACAGTCTCGCTCTCTGTTTAAGTACTTTGCCACTAACTGGGACATGATTTTCCCGTTGTTTTAAAAACCACTTATACAAGAAATTTTCCATTTTAGGTGCCTTCGCATTTTTTAAAGTTTTTCTTTTTCCCGGACCTCCAAATGTATTGCACGTTCTTTGTAAAATTTGAGTTTTCATATGCTTAATTTTACAGATTGTTGCTTTCGATACTCCATATTTTTTTGCTAACTGTGTCACTCCCGCACCTAGTGCAACTTCGTCTATGATTTTCACTTTCTCACTCAACTTTAAACACATTCTTTTATAGGATGTTGATGCCATAGTCGTAAAATATATTAACGCGTGCAATGTATTCACTTAAGTTCAAAAATGAAATACATACGTACGTATAAACGTATCCTAAACGATCATACGACTGACCGAGTTTGTCGCATTTTATCGCACTCTACACATAAATCGGGGACTCCCCGACGCCCGACATAAATCATCGAGGCTTCAGCATTTTACCGTCGCGCTGTTTCCGTGCGCCGAGAGTTGTTTACGTTATCGAGCGTACACATTGTTTACGTTATCGCGCGTTCCGTTTGATCCTATAGAACGAAGTTTGTGTTTACATTAGCGCAAGTTTTCATTATCCCGTGTTTACGTTATCGAGCGTCTGCTGTATTCGTAAAATTTGTCGGTTATAAAGAGCGTAAAACTGGATTTTAACAGAATCAGGTAACTGAAATCTCCCTACCGCGTGGTGGGGTATCAGCAATCGTCAGAGTCTGTCGCCAGTCTTGAAATCATGGGTGACGCAATTTCTAAGAAAACACGTTAAGCTCTTGCTTTAAATAGTAAATACGATATCGTCAAAAGATTGCAAGGAGGTGTGAAGCAAAGTTTGTTCTGAAATGGGATTAAGTAAATCAACGATGACTACTGCATAATAACATGTCCTAAACATACATAAATAAGTACTCTGAGATATGGATTTGATTTACAATTTTTCATTCTAATTACAGGTTGGTACAATTTGGAAAAATAAAGGCAAAATACTGGAAATGTTTGCGAAAGGCAAAACATAAATGTGAAGAAAAATAAAAAGCCCACGAATTATAAAATTGATCAGGGACTTCTGAAATGGTTTTCTCAGCAGAGAAATAAAACAGTTACGATAAGTGGTGCCATACTGCAATCGAAGGTTGAAGACCTTGGGAAGAAGTTATTATTATTATTATTATTATTATTATTATGAATGCTTATCGGACACTTGAATGTACGTTCCCTCATGTCTAGTTTTGATGCTGTTGTAAATTTAATAGCATTAGAAAATTTTGATGTATTCGCTGTTACAGAGACGTGGCTAAATGAAAATATTACTGATGATGTGGTTAATATTAGCAACTATTGTTTCTTGCGTTGTGATAGAGAATCTCGTGGTGGTGGAGTTGGAATCTATGTTAAATCAAATCTACATACTGAAAAGGTAGATATTCATAAAAATGTTGGTGATTTTATCGAAAGCATTTGGGTTAAATTGGTTGCGGGTCAGTGTGAACTGTTAGTAGGTGTTTTGTACCGACCACCTTCTAAAAACATACAACAATGTGCAGATGTATTAAATGGTTTCCTACCCAGCCTCTCGTTATATCATCATAACATCGTGATATTGGGAGATCTGAATATGATTTTTTTTAATAACAATATATTTTCACTGAGTCACAGATAGTACTGCAACATTAATTGATCCAATATTTTTACGAATGGTATTTCGGACCACAAAACTCGTATTTTTTCATTTTGACATTCCATCTTATAAAAGAAAACAAAAATTTATCAGAATCAGGGATTTTAAACATTTCAGTGAGGATGATTTTCTTATCGATCTTTCTACATCGGGCATAGATGAATTATTTACGAAATCTAATATTGATGAGAAGGTAATGCACATTACAAGCGTTATCGTGGAAACCTATAATAAACATGCTCCTTTTAAAACTGTAAGAGTTAATAAGCCACCATCACCTTGGTTAACAAATGAACTACGCACTGTTCTTGATGAAAAGAATAATGCACAAGCTTTATATAGAACTAATAAGACTGTGGACGCCTATAATAACTTCAAATCGCTTAGAAACCGTGCTCTTAACATGATCAGGAGGGACAAAAAGACATATATCGAAAATTTGGCAAATGAAGATGATTAAAAAAAATTGTGGAAGTCTCTCAAACAACTTGATATAAATTTTCGTAGTAAACCAACCCTTCCGGCAAGTTTTAATGACCCTACCAAAATTAATGATTATTTTATGTCTGTTTATAGCTATAAACCTGTTGATTCACTAGTTTGCGAAAACTATTTCAAAAATAAATTAAGCTCTGAATATATTTTTTCATTGAATAAGATTAGTTCAAATGACGTATTACAGGCAATAGGGAGCTTAAAATCTGATGCGAAGGGAATTGATGGTATATCCCTGTCAATGATCCAGCTTTGCCTGCCAGTTATTCTCCATCACATCGTCCACATCTTTAACGACTGTTTGGAAAAAGGCTACTTTACAAACACATGGAAACAAGCTCTAATTATTCCAATTCCTAAAAAAATGAAACCCACTGAGTATAATGATCTCGGACCTATCAGTTTATTACCAATTTTATCTAAAATTTTAGAAAAAATTATAAAGTTCCAACTGACCGCTTACCTTGAAAAATTCTTTATACTTCCCGACACTCAATCCGGATTTAGAAAAAATTATAGTACAACATCTGCCTTTCTTAATCTGCAAGACAATATTTTAAGTGCCTTAGATAAGAAAATGGCCTAGCCTTAATCTCTATAGACTATTCGAAAGCCTTTGTCAGCATCAATCATAAATTAAATTACATAGGTCTTGACAGTGTATCCCTTTCATTTTTCGACAGTTACCTTCATCAAAGAACTCAGTGTGTTTTTCTCAATCAAGAAATGTCTCAAGTGACAATAATTCCCTCAGGCGTACCTCAGGGCTCTGTATTGGGACCGCTTCTGTTCCTCATATATACGTTCGACTTAAGCAAAAGTATTGATAATTCTCATGTCCAGTCATTTGCAGACGATATGCAATTGCTTCATTATTTTAACCCAGATAATGTCAATAATACTA